CAATTAGCTTCAAACTTTAACTAAATGTTCCTTAGGGTATCTTGTTTATAAATTGTATCCGAAGTTTGTATCCATTGACAAACATGGCCGCCATGGCTAAAAATAGAACATAAGGGTCAAATGCAGTTTTTGGCTTATATCTCAAAAACTGAATCTTTTAGAGCAAATGTGACATGGGGTGAAATTGTTTAATTGGTCAAGATCTATCGGCCCTGAAATTATCAGACGAATCGAACAACCCATTGTTGGGTTGCTGTCACCGAATTGGTAGTTTTAACAAAATTTTACAGTTTTTTGTTATTATTTTGAATATTATTATAGATATATATAAACTGTAAGCAGCAATAATGTTCAGCAAAGTAAGATCTACAAAAAAGTTAATATGACCAAAATTGTCAATTGACCCCTTAAGGAGTTATTGCCCTTTAAAGACAATTTAACACAATTTGTTCATCAAGTTTGCTAACATTTAAAAATCTTCTCCTCTGAAATACAGGTGAGCGATTCAGGCTCTTGAGAGCCTCTTGTTTTTTATATTTGTAGCGGTGGGGGCATTAAGTTTTACCCTTGTCCGTCTGTATGAACGTACGTCCCAAAATTGTTTTCTGTTCTCTAACTTGAGTTTGCCTCACCCAAATGTTATGAAACTTATACACAATGCTCATTACCACAAAACACAGATCATGTTTGAATTTAAGTGGCGTCACTTTAACCGCTCCAGAGTTATGCCCCTTTATAAATGGAAAAATTGCAAAATTTTTAGTTTCCGTTTTCTAACTTAAGTTTGCCTCAACCAAATGTTATGAAACATATACACAATGCTTATTACCATAAAACACAAATCAAGTTTGAATTTTGGTGGCATCACTTTAAATGTTCTAGAGTTATGCCCCTTTATAAATGGAAAAATTGCAAAAGTTTTAGTTTCCATTCTCTAACTTAAGTTTGCCTCAACCAAATGTTATGAAACTTATACACAATGCTTATTACCTCAAAACACAGATCAAGTTTGAATTTTGGTGGTGTCACTATAACCGTTCTAGAGTTATGCCCCTTTATAAATGGAAAAATTGCAAAATTTTTATTTTCTTCTAAATATCAAGTTATTTTTTAAAATTGGAGTTATCTTCCTTTGTCCATGATTATAGTTGAATCAACTACAATCAATGCTTTATACAATGCAATGTTTAATTTTGACTTCCACTGATAAAACACAGATCAAGTTGAATTTGGGTAGTGTCACTTTAACCATTATTGAATTATGCCCCTTTATAAATCGAAAGATTGCAAAATTTTTAGTTTCCATTCTGTAACTTAAGTTTGCCCCAACCAAACATGAAACCTATTCACAATATTCATTACCACAAAACTAAGATCAAGTACAAATTTTTTGTTTCCGTTTTCTAACTTTAGTTTGCCTCAACCAAATGTTATGAAACTTATACACAATGCTTATTACTACATAATACAGATTAAGTGCGAAATTTGGTGGCGACACTTTTACCATTCTTGAGTTATGTCCCTTTATAAACATAAAAATTGCTGAATTTTTCGTTTCCGTTCTCTAACTTTAGTTTGTCTCGACCAAATGTTATAAAACTTATACACAACTGTTCTAGAGTTATGCGTGTTTTCAAATAGAAAAATTGCTGAATTTTTAGTTTCTGTTCTCTATTTAAGTTAGCCTCAACCAAATGTTATGAGACTTAAACACAATGCTTATTACCACAAAACTCAGATCGAGTTCAAATTTGGGTAGCGTCACTTTTACTGTTCTTCAGTTATGTAACTTTATGATATGAAAGCAGGGGCATCATCTGTGTCCACATGTGTCCACTATCCACATTTATTTTAAATATGTACGACTTTCCAGTATGTTCTTTTTTGACCGCGTCCGATTTGGTGGTGTTGCATCTTACAAAGTCTATTAAATTTATTTTTGCAAAAAATTCAGCTCAAGCCAGGGCTAGGGGCCATCTTAAACTTGCAGTGACGTGAGAGTTTTTTTCTCTGTGTTGAAGGCCTCAATGTGACTTGAGATGAAGAACAGCAATAAAAGCGCTGTTTCTTTGCTTTTTTTATGTTTTTTTTTTTTTTTTTTTTTTTTTTTTTTTGTTGTGCATGTACTGATTTTGTGTCATGGATGGATACCCCATATCCTTTATTTTTCTATAACAGTAAGTGCTATTAATTTTTTCTATTCAATGGAAAATAGACCGATCAAACCCACATTCATCATGAAAACTTGTTCACTGGATATGGCTCTTAACATTCTCATTTTTAGCTCACCTTGCCCACTGGGCATGAGACCTATTGCCATCACTGGACATTCGTTGTCATCAGATTCAGTAAACTTTTAAAAAAATCTTCAGTGAAACTTCTTAGCCTCATGTTACCAAAAATTATTGAATGTATCCATCAACAAGGCAGCTGTTGTTAAAAAAAGCATAGGGGTAAAACTATTGTATCCCTTGCTAGATAAGAATCAAACTTATTCTGAAGGAAGATAAAGGGATGGGGAGGAAGCCTATTAATGTTATGGATCAATAGGTTAATGGTAAAGGTCACCAACTAAAAATAGAAAATTTTGGGAAATACTTGTTTTTGATTGGCACCACAAGATTCCTTTCCATGATTGGAATGAAACTTATACAGAAGAAAGCTATAGGAATGGGGAACAAACCTATAGATATTGGGGTCCACAGGTCAAAGTCACTCTTACTAGAATAGATATTTTTTTTAGTTTGGTTTCGTGATTGTATCCTACTATGAATTGTTACACATTTATATATATGTGAAAATAATAAATAATAGTAAGGGGTACATGTTTATTCGTCCCTGGAAACATAGAAGTATTTTAAGACCTTGAAATAAAAATATTTTTTTCTAATTGATGCGCAGTTGAGGGAGTATCAGTTGGTATTACCAGCTTTTTACTTGTTTATCTTCACTACGATGAAGTTACATATGAGACACTGCAGTCCATCATTGTGGCATGGACATGGTCGTTATTTAGGTTCATTTGTGTTTTTTTTAGACATCAGCAATTTCTTTTGATAGAAACTGCCTTATCTGTGCATCCACACTTTGATTTTCAAATGATGCATGCGGTTAAAAGTGAAAAATTTCATGCAATTAGTTAAGAATAAATTTAAAATTTAGCAACATTATATTGATAAGAAAAACTGAACCTACTTTACTTTTTCAGTACATGTATAAACTGTTAAAGTTTGTTAAATAATAAATTTGTGAAAGACTTAATAAAATTGAGAATGGAAATGGGGAATGTGTCAAAGAGACAACAACCCGACCAAAGAGCAGAAAACAGCCGAAGGCCACCAATGGGTCTTCAACACAGCGAGAAAATCCCGCACCCAGAGGCAGACTTCAGCTGGCCCCTAAACAAAAATGTGTACTAGTTCAATGAAAATGGACTTCACACTAAACTCCAAAACATATAAATAAACTAAAATTAAAAAACATACAAGACTAACAAAGGCCAGAGGCTCCTGACTTGGGACAGGTGCAAAAATACAGCGGGTTACATATGTTTTGTGAGATCTCAACCCTCCCCCTATACCTCTAGCCAATGTAGAATAAACAAACACACAGCAATACGCACAGTAAACATCAGTTTAAAAGAAGTCCGAGTCCAATGTCAGAATAGGTAACAAAAGAAACTAAGCAAAATGACCATGATACATAAATTAACAAAGGACTACTAGCAGTTACTGACATGCCAGCTCCAGACCTCAATTAAAAGGTTATTAAGTTTGCTATTCCAAATGTGATTCATATGTTTATAGAACATCATTTTTTTAAATTATCTCTTTAATGCAAACCTCTAACCCAATAAATTGTTTATCTGAGAAATACAATTCCTTGAGCAACCTAAAATAAAACTATCAACTGGTGGTATTGAGAATTTTTTAATTGCAGATACTTCTTTTTTCAAAATTAGTTCAGCAATGTCTCTGCAGACAGATTATTTAATAGAAATGCACATGGATAAACCATCCCACATTCTGTATGTGCCTTTCCAAAGTCCGGAGCCTGTAATTGTTGTTCCTTGACCTGGACTTTGACCTTTGATCCCTATGACAATAAAGTATTATCAGATTTGTGTTCAGTGCATTACTTTTGCAAGAATACTACTGTCCGTCCGCCTGTCTGTCCGTACGTACGTCTGTATGTCCCAAAGTTGGTTTCCGTTCTCTAACTTTAGTTTGCCTCAAACCAAATGTTTTGAAACTTATATACAATGCTTATTACCACAAAACACAAATCAAGTTTGAGTTTTGGTGGTGTCACTTTAACCGTTCTAGAGTTATGCCCGTTTACAAATGGAAAAATTGCTGAATTTTTCGTTTCTGTTCCTAACTTAACTCAACCAAATTTTATGAAACTTATACACAATACTTGTCACCACAAAACTCAGATCAAGTACAAATTTGGGTAGTGTCACTTTTACCATTCTTCAGTTATATGATATGCAAGCAGGGGCATGATCAGTGTCCCATGGACACATTCCCCATTTTTTTTGTTTTAAATATGTAAGACTTTCCAGTATGTTCTTTTTTGACCGCGTCCGATTTGGTGGTGTTGCAGACAGCTATTGTTTATTTGTCAACGTATATTTGTTCCACCTAACAGAAGTTCCCCTGGAAAATTTGTTATAAACATTGCCATAATATCTGTTCCTGTTGGAACAAATATTCTATACACTTTTAGGAGCAATTACTGAAATATTTGTTCCAGTGGAAATATATTACATAATATGTAGTCTAATTTCCCCTCTAATTTATGCCTCTTTTCCCCTTTTCCAATTCTCCACAGTAATAGTACAGCTTTAAAATTCTATCAAGGGATTCAAAAGCAAAAGCGGAATGGGAAAAACAGGTGGACAGACATCCTTCTCACTATATACTAGCCACATCAAAAAGCAGATGGATATAAATTGAATTTATAAAAGGGCATAAATCATCAATAAACAACTACACTTCTTTGACCTTTATTAATGTTTTGACAATAAATAGTATTAATGAATTTATTATGTGGGTTAACTAAAAAGTTCAGATTTTAGGACACTCAATAGACCAATTTAAAATCTACTAACATTCCCAAGTTTCTTTGTCCTCTTACAGGATGTATGCACTGATCAGAATGTCCATAACAGTGATGCTCCCATACTGCAATACCATTTCTGAATTTCTTCCTTAAAAACAATACAAATTTGTATTTCCTTTAGAATGTATGTACTTGATAAGCCTTTGTCCATGAAATTAATAAAATTAGTGCTACAAAAAATACCTGGTTAACAATACTATTGAATAGGTTTAAAATTTGAAGAAATTAAATATGCAATGCTCATCATGTGAGAAAGAGGGGCAGAAGGACCTTTTTCTGGAATTAAGGATTGAGCTGTTTAATTCTGAGGAATTCTGGGACAGCCAGTTAAATCTTCTGGATTTAATAATATCGAGATGTCGGTACGGCCACATTATTTTCACTGCAATTCAGGATTTGGCATTTATTTTCTCAGGAAAATCGGGATGAACCACCTCCTAGCCCCCTCCAGAAAGATTCTGTGAAAGTCAAATCATAACAATTATCAGACCTAATAGAACCATGTATTTTCAAGTAATTAGTAATTTGTGGATGTTTGCTACTAAAATAAGGGCACTGTTTAAAATTTAAATGCAGTGATAAGAAAACAACCAATTTACCAAAATAATCAGGTTCATAGAATAAATGAGTAAGGAACATCATTGAACCAGCAAAATATAGTTTTAAACTCAGAATAGCCCCAAAAAGGTGTATTATAGACAAAGTTGCTGTTATTAGACATAAGAAGGCACTCCAGTGCTTAAGTAGATACAAATAAATAGTGCAGAGTATAAGTGAGTCTATGTTACTAAAAAACTTCCTTGTAATACAACGTAATGACTGAGATTTCTGTCTGTCACAACAAAATCTCTGTTTATCAATTAACTTCACATAAATTAACAAAGTTAAACATGATTGCTTAATACTCTCATGAAGAAATTTATTGAATGTTTTCACTGTGTCTCTTAAATTGAATCTGCTAGTCTTTACACATATCTCTACATTCTTCCTAAAGTAGCTATGGCCTGTGTTAATTTTTCTATTTCTATTTCTGTTTCACTCATCTGAAAATAAGAATATAGGAAAAATAAAAACAACAAAAAGGTCTGGCCTTAATTATGACACTTGCATATTTGAAGAGGACTGGCCTATTAGAAGTATCTAATGTAGGTTGACTTGATCTTTTACAATGCTTAAAGTGAATCTTTACTGAGTTTCAAACAAAACAGAAAACAAACAAAAAACACCATTTACTGTGTATTTCAAATGCCAATCCCATAGAATACAAGATACCTGATTTCAAAACACCACAATAATTATAAACTTTATAAGTCTAAAGACTGCTTTCATATTAATGAAACTGCATTTGGTATACTTCAAAGTTAAAATTGTCAAAGAAGATGTTATTTCCCATAGGCTTAGATTAATTTTATATGCCACTTTAGCTGCTATTTATGCAATCTTTATACAACACAGAAAAGAGTTAATTTTGAAGTAAGTATACAAATAATTTCGTCAACAAGGTCTGTAATCTTTTGGCCTAGTGTTGACAGAGGAGAACCCCAATAAAAAAATGGTAAACAAACTTAACAATTTTACATTAAAGCCTTGCCCTCAAAAGCCATATTCACCGAGAAGGTGATAAAGACAAAAAAGATAACCTTCAATACTTATATCCCTGTCAAGCTTAGATTACTAAAGCTTAATAGTAATTGATTATTAAAGTGAAAAGTCCTGATGCTTTACCACAACTGATTAAGCGCTGTTCAAATGAAACATTGCACACATAGTTTAAATATTTCAAATTGGCACATAGATCATTGTTAAAGTGTCCTCTTGGATAGCAAACGTGTATTAATGAAAAACCCCAATTGAATTTTCTCTAAAACAAAATTTTTACCTTCTGTGAATTCTTTTGTCTAACATCCTCTGGTACTTTAGTGGTGTAATCTTCTTTGGCTGTTGTGTCCTTTAATTTTTGTAACTGACCAGACAAAGTGTCTTTCTTTCCATTCAGTTTACTGATTTCTTTTGAGATATCAATTATACCCTATAAAAATGATTTTATTATAATGAAAATCAGTCATCATAAGATTGCATCAATAAACATAAGTAAGATATATATCATACTGGCACATCCTAATCAAACATTTGTATTTCATATTATTTCATGTCGGATATGAACTGCTTTAAACCCACCATAAATTTTGCACCTTTACAAAGTCAGGCTACCTGGACCATGTATTGTTTATTGTTTGTCTGTTTTTTTCTGTTTGTATGTCTGTTTTTTCAGAGGTGTCAGGTGTTGGAAGTTAACTCTGTTGTGCTGTCCAATACTGTTGGGGATTCTAGTTATACTTTTTGTGTATCATATAATAGTAATTTATGAAGAGATCATCATCTCGATAAACATATTGCCCATGGTGCAGTAGTATTAACTTTAACTTTGATAATGTCCTCGTTTGTGGCCTTAATATATTTTTGTGTCAATACTACTGTCCATTGAACAGTCTATATCATAATAATGCCCTCTTCATAAGGGTTATGTTTCTGGCAATACTACTGTCCATTGAACAGTCTATTATATAAATAACACATATCTGAGAGGGTGACAGAGCAGATTGTTACACCGAGAAAACATTGTCAACTGAGGCGAAGCCAAGGTTGACAATGTCTTTTCAAGGGGTAACAATCTGCTCTATCACCCTCTCAGATATGTGTTATTTAATTCATTATACTGATGTTCTGTTATAACTGTCTACTAAATTTCAAATTCAAAGTAATAAACTATGTCGTCTTGTACATAACAATCATCTGTATATATTAAAGCGCACATTTGAGCAAGCGTCTCTGTGAAGGGTAATAGAGTATTTTTCCATGGGATAGTATATAAATAACACATAGCTGAGAGGGTGATAGAGCAGATTGTTCCCCAGAGAAAACATTGTTAACCGCGGCGAAGCCAAGGTTGACAATGCCTTTTCAAGGGGTAACAATCTGCTCTATCACCCTTTTAGCTATGTGTTATTTACTTTATTATACCGAATGTTCGCTGTTATTTACTGTCTGTTAAATTTCACGTCTTGTACATAAGTCATCCCTGTTTAGTAAAGCGCACAAATGATCAAGCGTCTCCATGAAGGGTGATAGAGTATTTGCCATGTGATAGAGTAAATTGTCTACCTCGTATTAACCAATCAGAATCCCGCATTTTGACATGAAGTATAATAAAGTAAATTGTCTCCCTCGTATTAAACAATCAAAATCTGGCATTTTGACATGAAGTATAATAAATCATTATAATGCCCTCTTCATAAGTGTTATGTATATGTCAATACCACTGTCCATTGAACAGTCTACTGTGGATTCATTATTATTCGTTGGATACCAATTTTCATTGGTTTCGTGGGTACTGGAGAACCAAGAAATTTAATGTGCAACGAATAGAAAATTTCTATAGGCTTGTATGCAGACTTCAGCAGAACCACGAATATAAATATCCACGAACATGCAAGTTTTCTGTAATCCAAGAAAATTGGTACCCACGAAAATAAATGAATCCACAGTATATCATAATAATGCCCTCTTCTTAAATGTTATGTTAATGGTTAAGACTGTAAAATAGTTCCTTTTCACCAAATCTCATGTTACATTCACAGTCTTTCATTCCTTTCATAAGCTTTATTATCCAAGTTTAAAGTCCATGAAAATGTGATTGTAAAATTATTGAGGCATTAAAAGATAAACACACCAATAAAGAGTGCACTTGTTGTCTCCCTTGACACTTCTTATAGAAAAAGATTTGATTATGAATCAAAATCTAAGTTGTACATGCAGCATACTTTTGTCTGAGGAATTCTCCCCCAATGTCTTCAATGTATCCGTAATTCAATGTTTAGAAATTTAAACTTGACTATGTGATAATCACCTTTAACATGATGTGACATTCACATTTAGCTGACACAGTCTGTACAGCACATCCCTCAGGTGGTGAGTCCCCGACCAGAATGTTGAGACTAGCACAAAATGTCAAGGTTTCTATCAGATCTGTGTATCTCTTTAATATAGAGGCTGTTTCTGTTGTATCACACTTTAAGTACACTGTAACAGAAAACAAAATATATTACACTTTATTTTATCATTTATTAAAAAATACAATGTGACCAAAAATCACTGATGGTTGATTGTTGGCTTTTTAACACAACCATAACATGTATTGGCTATTTCATGGCTATTAATCCATTGTAAGTTTCTAACAATTTTTTAAAGTTACAATTAATTTTACCTTGAAAGATTTTTTGTAATATGTGCCATAGAAATTCTTCTTTGATCAGTTTAAATATTACTCTCTTTTGTAGCAAAATCAATAGATGCATCAATAAGTTGTTGGAAGCTTTCTTTTCAAGTATTGGAACAGATATACATGTGACTTTGTTAAAATCTCTTTTTTTTGTATTTTTTGTATATGTTATTCTGGAAGACTTTTTTCTTTTATTACTACATTGTGTACAACATAAGCCGATTCATCTGTGAATCACTTACCATCAGTTTTATTTTTATTTACTAAATTATAATCTGCTCGAGTTGATCTTATACTTTTAACAACAGTCTGCACTAAATCAACATCTGATTCTAAATCTTTAGATCTGTGTTGGTACTGTAAAATCAAGTTTTCATATTACTAAAAAAATAAAATTGCACCAATTTCACATTTTTTGGGAGGTAATTGCTTAAACACAATCTACTTTTTAAAATTATTATTGAACTACAAAATGTATATTTACACTTGCTCATTGTTGAAGGCTATATATGATGACCCGTAATTGTTCCCATCTTTGTCCTTTGGTCTGTATGAATAGTTGTCTTATTGACAATCATATCACCTTTTATTTTTATATTGATAAAGTATTTGGTGAAATGAATTCAACTGTAACTAATGAGGTTTCTATTTCTGGATACCGAAGTTTCCTTTCCCAATCTGGCTGGTGGGGAGAAATACAAATATTATTATAAACTACTAACTTTCTATTTGGACTATAAAAGATCACTGTATTAAATAGCAATAATCTAAATTATATTTGTAGCTATCATTTCTGTGTATCACTGTATTAAATCACAATGCTTAAGACAAAGTTTACATAATTGTACACCTCTAGCGAAATTTGGGCTGAAAAAGTTTGTGGTTACTAACAAGAGTTATCCCCCTTACTCAAAGAAAGAAAAAAATGGGAACATTATATATGTATATACATCGTATATCAATATAAAAGATAATCTGTGGACTAACAAAATAGAAAAATACCTGCCAAACTTCATGATTTTTCCAATATATTCTTTGCACTTATGACGTTTCATGCTGTTAATTTCAACAGCTCGTATTTCAAAAAAACTAAAATGGTTATCCCTACTTTTTACTTTGTTTTTCTGGTGTATTTTGACAAGCAGAATTCATATGTGATATTAAAAAAAATTCTGGAGTAGTTAATTACAGTCACTTCGCCTTAAATTATATTTGATTTCTGTTATAAACTGTCAGTGTCAATAAACGAGGATAAAACAATTTCAAGTTTACAACAATAGTAAACAATTCAAAGATCATAAATACCAATATAATTCTTCAATTTAAGTTTATCAGTTGAGGAAATCCTAAATATAACTACATAAAGCTTAAAATATCTTGACATTGTTTTTCATGTTACATACAAGTTCTGTTTCCTTGCCCAACTTTGTTTAGACTTTTTGTCCTTTTTTGGTTTATAAGCTCTTCATTTTTTTAATAAGTTTTTGGATTATCAAATATTTTGGCCTCCAGCGTCATTAAAGATACATTTATGGTTGAAATGCCCATCTGGTGCAGAAAATTTGATAAAGTTAATGTTATTCCATTTGATTTCTTTTCAACAAATATCATTGATATACAATATCCCAATAGACACACAGACAAAATACATACTGTATCAACATGTGGATAAGGAGCTATGCATATACTGGGTGCATGTTTATCTGATCTCCTTGGTAATCGTTGATACAGCTCTTCTGTCACAAAAGGCATGATAGGATGTAACAACCGAAGACCAACATCTAAACATGTATACAAGACATTTCTTGAAACAGTCTTCTCTTCTTCATTATCACCATAAATAAGTGGCTTGATGTGTTCCTGAAATACAATATTAGATCAATTACATGTATAAATAAGGCTATTTGGCATGTAAAGTAATTAAAGTTGTGGATTAAGGATGGTTATACCTTATGATAAAGATTTTTGTGGCATTTTTTTGTCCATTTGTTATGGAGAATTGATATTTTGTGTAGAAATAAGTATAATGAAGACATTATGACAGAATATTCCACATGTTGAATTTGGGCCGTATCTGGAGAAAATCATCTAATACACCAGTCAAATTATCTATCCCATATCAGACCATTGGATACAGTTCTTGGAGGATATAAGTAATGGTGTGTGAATTCTACTAACCAAGTACCAATCACAAAGTTCATACAACCAGAAGTTATAACAGGCAGTAGTAGTTGTCTGGAAGTCATAGTTAACAAATCCTATGTTGGCCTGTTCTATGGCATAGGTCATCCTACTCAGTATCCATAAGTCCATCTCTTTTTCTTTTCCACTCAACTATTAAAAGAATTTCAAAAAATCTCTTCAATTAAAAGTTTCATTTGAAAAGATCCTGCTTTATAAAGTAATTTTTAATTTCAAAATCTAGATTCAGATTTAATTGGTTTCTCTCGTGTGAACATGAAGAAATATGCAACACCGCAGCTTTGATTTGTTACAAATATTTTACAATAAGAAAACAACTGCAATAGTTAACCTTATATTATCATTAGCATTATCATTACTGTTTCTTTACTATTTATAACCATTATTTAATAATAATATTATATATGTAACATACCCTTTATGGACTGATGATTGGTTTAATAAAGTATTCATTTTTATATGTATTCATATTCTTATTAGTGTAAGCAAGTATAAAAGAGAATTTTCTATCACACACAAAAATATATCATGGCCTTTGTTTCTTCATTGTTCTTAGTTCACAGAAATGACCTAATTTTCAACACTCCTTTCTAAGTAAAACTTGGGTTTTCTTTCTTAAAGGAAAAAAAGAAAGGCTTAAAAAAAGCCTTGTGTCTAGTTATAAAACAAAAACTTTATAAGAAAAATCTTTGAAAAGCTTTGTACTGAGAAAAAACATTCATAGAACATAGAAAAACCAAAAAAAAACCATTATGCTTGTCTACAAGAAGCAATAGAATACTCCACTACCCATACTGTTTGTTAATAAAAGTCTGTTGGACATTTGTGTCTTACCTTATGTTCTGGTTCTGGTTTAAAATTATCCCCAAGGGCGATCATAGCAAATTTTGTAGCATTCCATAATTTATTGCAGAAAAATCTATAGCCTTGGACTCTTAAAACATCTAAGTTAATGTCCCTTCCTGAAATACAAAATAAACTGTTATTATCTTATAACAAATGTCTTATGCACTTAGCTAGAACTACTATCAAAGAAAAAGTTCATAGGGTTAAAGTGGTCTATAAAATGCATCAAAATCACCAGGCATGTTCTTTCACAATTTAGAAATTACTGCTATCTAGAGACCTTATAATATTATTGATAATCAAAATGACTTCACCTTTATTACTGAAAACACTCTATATGGCAATATATATGCAAATGAAATATGTAGATTTACACAAATCTTTATGCATAAACATCTTTTATCAAAAAATAATTTTTAATTAAGGCAATTTAGCATATTCTAAAAGTACATTAATGGCAATAAAAAAAAATCATTATTTAAAGCATGTTATATGATACTCAGACTGAAATGCTGACCATACATGCAGAGGAAGCATAAACATAGAATGATTAGCATAAAACTTTATAAAAGAACAGATGTCCAATGTCCCCTGCATTGCACATATTTTATCTGTACAATAATTCTTATAAAATTACTTGGTTAGCACTGGTTTTTGAACTTATCTGATTCATTGCTGATATAAACCTTTGATATAACTTTGATAAAAATCTGGCAAGAATTGTACATGTGAGAGCAGTTGAAAGACGGAATGGATGGACGTACAGACGGACACCCAGTATTTCTTTGTCCCAAGTGTTGTGAAGGGGACAAATTTGAAATGAATGTTTGGCTATTAGCCCTTTTTAAATGGATAGAAGATTAGCATAGTAAACCAGAAACTGACACAAAATGCAATGTACCTAAAAGTTGATGCTGTTATTTTACACATAAAAATTTAAATACTACCTTGAGAAGTATATGCAACAAGGGCAAATCTTAGTGCATCAGTTCCACATTCAGGGATACCATTGGGGTAATCTGCTTTCTAAAATTATACAGCGATAACATATCATTGAAATCTTAATATCATTATAAGCTTTACATGATTTGATCAAATTGTAGTAGCAGAAATTAGATCTGAAATTTTTTAGGAACAATTAAAATTTACTGTATTTTGGGTATGACCTAAAATTACTTACCACTGTAAATGATTTTAAATTACTGAAGGAAAAATCTGCATGAACTCCTTTAGTTATGACTGAAGATAAGAGTTTGATTAACAATTTGATAACTTTAATAATTTATAATGAAATAAAAGTTAACTTTGTGCGTTCTTTAGATTTCCTATATAAGGTTGAAAATGTATGCTGAATTATTTGAACACTGGATGTTTTTGTTTTGTTTTATTGTATTGTTTGATACCTTTTTTCACACATTCCACAAACCCCTTTTATTCATTTGCTTTTTACCTGTCCCTCCTGTGCTTTTTTAACTTCTTTCTCTTCCAAATTACCATCTTCAAGTCTACTATGCAGGTCCTGTAAAATACAATTTACTTCTCACTTAAAATTGTACATTTCTTGATGTACTTCCCCCTTCATGTCACTGACTTAATATATTCAATGAAATTTTGCAGGTGTATAGAAAAAAAAACACACAAAAGGAATTATTTAGCTATATTAGGTACCAGATGACATGGGCATTTCAAACATTGGTCATTTCAATTAATGAAATACATGAAATGATAGAATTTGGCAGTGTTAATCTTGGTGTATTTGTAAATGTATTGTCAGACCTTTTGTGGAAAGCTGAGTGATTAAATGATGAATATCATTTAAAGCACTTTATTTTGCTTTCTGGGTTATTTCCTAGTATATTCCCTGACTTGCCCTTCAGTACTGCTTTTATATCTATATCTTCTCACCTGTAATGTTATACCATATATAACATCTAAGGGATCTATCACATTTCCTAGGGATTTACTCATCTTCCTACCATGAGCGTCTCTAACCATAGCATGTAAATATACCTATACAAAAATACAAAACATATATTAGATAAGTTATTATTACTAATTGTGTTTACTCACTGTAAATAAAAAATTTATTCTTTTTCTTATTATTTCTTTTAAAATTATTATTAGTACAATGTAGTATATTTTACTATAGCAACTACGCATATAATTATTACAAAATAAACCCTTTTTCTGTGGGAAACTGTGTGCAGGTAAAATAACTGTTTTGAAATATGCTGGTAGTAAAAATAACCACCTTCTCCCACAGGCAACTGTGCATAGACGATATTTCTGTTTGGGAATGTCCACATTATAACAATAACCCTTTTAAATTTGGAGCGCTTTGGCATGTCAAAAGAAATAACTAGTTGTCATCTGGTGAAAATGGCAGCAACCACAAGGTTTGGTTACATGGGACAGTATAATAATACAATACTGGCCTTCATTTAAGGTTAATATTCAAATTATTTTCAAATCTTGAAAAGGTTATTTTCACTCCATCCTTTTCTCAATATAATAAATTTGGATATCAATATTTGATTAAGGCCATGATTGTATAATTTTATTATTCCAGAAAATTATTAGCTGTTTTAAAAGAAATGCTATGATCAATGTATTGAACTCTTAAAATTTATTTTGTTCTAAAAATGTACAATAATTGGCAGTCAGGAAATAACTTTTAATGTGGTTTTGTGTTGTATTTGTTTGTATGTCTGTTCATACTTTGTCTTCCTGAAAGTACCTGAACATGCATGAAATATTTGACACTGGAATATTAAACAAACAATTATCAATCAATTCTATATTATTTTTTGTTTCAATAGCTAATAAGTTATGACAATTCCTATCTAATTTCTTATCCAAATATTGTTTTCTTTTATCATTATACGTAGAAAAACCATGAACTTTGCCACAATTATTCAAATGTGATAGTGTGTTTTTATTTTTTAAATTGAAATTTGATTATGCAAGTTTATAAAGTGTGTAAACAAACATGTGGGTCCTTCTTGTTAAAATGTACATTTATTTTGAACCACTGTTTTGTATGTAATGTTTGTAAATAGATGCCTATTCCTGTACATATTTTGCACTCTATCTGTACCTATGTATCTGCAATGGTTATGAGAATAAAGATATTGTATTGTATTGATTTCATCATTAAAATCAAGCAAAGATTTCATGATAAAACTTATATTTTAATTTTTCATAGTTTGCACTTTAAACATATAAATCATTATTTATAATAATTACCTCTTTAAATGGCAGTTTTCCCATCAAAACAAGTCCCATTGTCACCATCCTGGCAACCCAGAAAAATAAAATATCATGTCCAGTTTCTAGTAACGTTCCCGGATAAAAGGCTTCTAGTTCTTTTGTCTACAACATATAAATAAACAGAAATAAGGCAGATAATAAACACTTAATTAGGTTTTACAAAAATAATCATGGATTCCAATTTAATATCAAGGTTTGTTGAAAAATCAGTGCATCACAATAAATTTCAATTCCTTGTCATTACTTTGTACATTTATACAAATAAATGGATAATATGTTTTATATTAAGGGTACTTAAAAATCAAAACTGACAAAATTGCCTCTTTAAGATCTTTCCATTCATATTGATATCTGATTTAATCTGACCTAAAAATAAGCTTAATTTCTACAGGTTATTTTTGTATGTTTAACTACTTTTTTCCATTTTACCACCATTCACAATTTTGTTTTAAAACTTAAACTAAAATTGTGGCTAAATATGGTTTGAAATAGTCTAGTGGTTTCAAAGAAGAACTTTCAAAGCAAAATGATGGCAACAGCACATAAAAAGGGTCAATTGAGCTAACAATTACCTGATCTGGCCATCCAAATATCGAGAAAGGAAATATTCCTGATGAAAACCATGTATCCAACACATCCTCATCTACAAAAAAGATGTAGAGTGAATTAGTTATGAATTAAAAAATAATATACATTGCATTTGTCGGGGGCAAATACCTGGTCTAACAAGACACAAGATAAACATAAATCTAGAAGCCATAATTAAAACTTTTTTTATCAGTAATTTTTTTAATAGATACATGTAGTTTCTTAAATTTCTTTTGTTTTAACCATAAAACTGTTCTGACAGATAGTAAACCATAGTATATGTCTGTTTTCCATGAAGAATTATGTCAATAATTAAATACCCATTTATTTTCCTTGACAGTATTTAATGCTTTGTAAGTTACTATTAAATTAGTATTTTCTGTACTTGTATTTTGTTCCCTCATACTCTGAATCAAAACATCGAAAAATTATCTTTGTATATTAAAGAAGATCATTCAATATTTATTATACTTCACGTTAAAATGCCATATTTTGATTGGCTAATACGAGGGTGTTAATTTACTCTATTACCCTTCATGGAGACGTTTGATCAAGTGTGTGCTTTATTAAATACGACTCTATCCTATGGCAAATACTCTATTACCCTTCACGGTGACGCTTGATCAAGTGTGCGCTTTATTAAATACGACTCTATCCTATGGCAAATACTCTATTACCCTTCACGGAGACGCTTGATCAAGTGTGCACTTTATTAAATACGGATGGTTGTTATGTACAAGATGTCATAGTTCATTACTTTGAATTTGAAATTTAATCAACAGTAATAACAGAACATTCAGTATAATAAATTAAATAACACATATCTGAGAGGGTGATAGAGCAGATTGTTACCCCTCGAAAAGACATTGTCAACATTGGCTTCGCCTCAGTTGACAATGTTTTCTCAGGGTAACAATCTGCTCTATCACCCTCTCAGCTATGTGTTATTTATATAATGTTAAATCTGAACATCACTTACAAATTGTCGTAACTACAATCCTGTCCCCTTTTCCCCAAATGAGACCTACCGATTTAGACTTATCACCGGGTTTGTACTAAACATAAGCAACACAAGGGTGCCACATGTGGAGCAGGATCTGCTTACCTAACCAGAACTACTTACCATGTTGCAACGATATCTTTTCTCTGTTTGTCTGACCAGAACTACTTACCTTGTTGCAATGATATCTTTTCTCTGTTTATCTGACCAGAACTACTTACCTTGTTGCAATGATATCTTTTCTCTGTTTATCTGACCAGAACTACTTACCTTGTTGCAATGATATCTTTTCTCTGTTTATCTGACCAGAACTACTTACCTTGTTGCAATGATATCTTTTCTCTGTTTGTCTGACCAGAACTACTTACCATGTTGTAATGATATCTTTTCTCTGTTTATCTGACCAGAACTACTTACCTGCTGCAATGATATCTTTTCTCTGTTTATCTGACCAGAACTACTTACCTTGTTGCAATGATATCTTTTCTCTGTTTATCTGACCAGAACTACTTACCTTGTTGCAATGATATCTTTTCTCTGTTTATCTGACCAGAACTACTTACCTTGTTGCAATGATATCTTTTCTACAGCAACACCAAATTTATCTGCAGCTTTCTGTTTAGCTTCCTCTTCTGATCTGGCAACAATCCAGTAATTCTCATCAGTATCCTGCAATTTGTAATACATTATTTTAACATATTTTTTTTCCAACAGCCAATGTGTGTTTTTTCTAATACAGCTGTTAAGGTGTAATACCACCATTGATTTTCCCCTATTAGTCTTTGTTAAATTTGCACTTTTCAAAAAATTGTGCAGAATTTATCTTTGTTTCAAATAAAGAAATACTTGGCATGAGTAAAGATTTATCCTGTCCAGTACTATAGAAAAAATTTCACATAACATTTCATTGCATATAAGAAAATAACCGTCACTGGAAGTTAACCAATCAAATTTCCCCCCTTTTTTAACCTGTGTACAAGCTTTAGTAACCATGTAACCTCAAGTTTCCAAAATATTCTATAGAAACCCCAAATAAAGAAATAATGGTGCTTTGAAATACCCAAGATATATGTTTATGACTCAGAAATGTTTTACTGCAATGAAATGTAGGATCAATTACCTGCAACTGTCAAATTCAAGGGAATATTTTTTTTCGACCTATTTTCGTATGCAACCGGATGTGACGTACTATGATTTGGTGGTATTACACCTAAAGAAGACTTTTTTGTTAAATAAACTGAATGTGACTTTTTTCCTTTGTAATACTGGTTATTTCAAGCATTCCTGTCAAGTTTTGTCATAATCAGTTCAATAGTTTGAGAAAAATCTAGTATAATGTAAGACGACATCTACAGCGATTCGAGCAAAATTTCTTCGAAAAATCCAAACCAAGCCGCATCATGATAGAATATAGTGTGGACCAATAAATGATCAAATATTTATCTCATCTGCCTACAAACAGTTGAATATGATACAAAAGATGACTTTAGGATGATAAATACTACTAATGGACCTCTTTGTCTTCTTTATAAGGTCTCTTTTGGTCCATTTATACCTCTCATTTCCTCAAAATTTCTACTTTTTAGGCCAATAAATAAAAATTTTGGGGTAACTTTCACTCATTTATGATAGAAATGTTATTATAAATGATTAATTGAAGTATTCAAGCTGAATGAACTATCCGTATAAAAGTTTACTGTCTCCAAGGAGGTTTCAATAAGTCCTTACGTAAAAATTAAATTTACGCCGCGTTCCAGAGAGGGACATAAAAAACTTCTTTTTTGGTGAATAATTTGTTGTTACTGCTTTAAAAATAATTTCATTTACTTAAAACTATATATTTATTAAAGTATTTCTTAGGAAAAATTTTCTAGTACAGCAGAATATAAGAAATAAGGAGAAAAAGCTCCCCAAAACTCTAAGTATGGCTTGTTCTGTCAACTAATATTCATGGTAAAGTCCTATTTCAAGGAAATTTTCTCATAAAATGTATTTTGGAGACTCAATCCACTCAGAATATTTCATTATTTGTAATATTTCACTTAAATAGCAAGAAATTTTAACACATGAGAGTACTCACAAGGTCAAAGGTGCATGTACAGCTTCCCATATTAGGTGTAATACCACCATTGATTTTCCCCTATTAGTCTTTGTTAAATTTGCACTTTTCAAAAAATTGTGCAGAATTTATCTTTGTTTCAAATAAAGAAATACTTGGCATGAGTAAAGATTTATCCTGTCCAGTACTATAGAAAAAATTTCACATAACATTTCATTGCATATAAGAAAATAACCGTCACTGGAAGTTAACCAATCAAATTTCCCCCCTTTTTTAACCTGTGTACAAGCTTTAGTAACCATGTAACCTCAAGTTTCCAAAATATTCTATAGAAACCCCAAATAAAGAAATAATGGTGCTTTGAAATACCCAAGATATATGTTTATGACTCAGAAATGTTTTACTGCAATGAAATGTAGGATCAATTACCTGCAACTGTCAAATTCAAGGGAATATTTTTTTTCGACCTATTTTCGTATGCAACCGGATGTGACGTACTATGATTTGGTGGTATTACACCTTAATGACCAATGCATGGAAGCCAACAGAGACAATTGCAATTTTCACTGCTTACAGCTTTTAACAATAATTGATGCCAAATTTGACTAATATTCTCCACTTACTGAAACTGGAGGTTCACTGTGATCATTTAATGTAACAAAGTATGCTCTATACTTACAGAACCTGCAGGTATACTGGGATCATTTATAGTAACAAAGTATGCTGGGATACGATGTCCCCACCATAACTGTCGTGAAATACACCAATCACTGAAAAATACATAAAAATGTCTGTATTACTGAAATCAATTAACACAGTTCATTAAAAGTTGCTACATATCAGTGAATGTAAATCAAGTGTCTTCCACCATCTTAGATTGTAAATAAATGTGGATAGTGTCCACAGATGATGCCCCCACTTGCATATCATATAGTTATAAAGGGACATAACTGAAGAACGGTAAAAGTGACGCTACCCAAATTTGAACTTGATCTGAGTTTTGTGGTAATAAGCACTGTGTGTAAGTCTCATAACATTTGGTTGAGGTTAACTTAAGTAGAGAACAGAAACTAAAAATTCAGCAACTTTTCTATTTGTAAACACGCATAACTCTAGAACGGTTGTGTATAAGTTTTATAACATTTGGTTGAGACAAACTAAAGCTAGAGAACGGAAACGAAAAATTCAGCAATTTTTATGTTTATAAAGGGACATACTCAAGAATGGTAAAAGTGTCGCCCCCAAATTTCGTACTTAATCTGTATTATGTAGTAATAAGCATTGTGTATAAGTTTCATAACATTTGGTTGAGGCAAACTAAAGTTAGAAAACGGAAACAAAACATTTGTACTTGATCTTAGTTTTGTGGTAATGAATATTGTGTATAGGTTTCATAATGTTTGGTTGGGTCAAACTTAAGTTACAGAATGTAAACTAAAAATTTTGCAATCTTTCGATTTATAAAGTGGCATAACTCAATAATGGTTAAAGTGACACTACCCAAATTCAACTTGATCGGTGTTTTATCAGTGGAAGTCAAATTAAACATTGCATTGTATAAAGCATTGATTGTAGTTGATTCGACTATAATCATGGACAAAGGAAGATAACTCCAATTTTAAAAATAACTTGATATTTAGAAGAAAATAAAAACTTAGCAATTTTTCCATTTCTTAAGGGACATAACTCTAGAATGGTTAAAGTGACGCCAACAAAATTCAAACTTAATCTGTGTTTTGTGGTAATAAGCATTGTGTATAAGTTTCATAACATTTGGTTGAGACAAACTAAAGTTAGAAAACGGAAACCAATTTTGGGACGTACGTTCGTACGTACAGACGGACAAGGGTAAAACTTAATGCCCCCTCTGCTACGGCGGGGGCATAAAAAAGCATTCAGGGCCTTTTATAGCTGACTATGTGGTAGGAGTTTTGCTCATTGTTGAAGGCCGTACGGTGACCTAAAGTTGTTAATTTCTGTGTCATTTGGTCTCTTCTGGAAAGTTGACTCATTGGCAATTATACCACATCTTCATATTTTTATATGATATAAACTACAATTTGACAAATTATTGAAAAATTCTATCAATTTTAATTTAGAACCCTTATCTACCAAGATAAAAACAAACAATTCAACTAATTGCAATTAATTCCCCTTTTAAGTATGACATCTTCATTTCTGTAGAAAGGTAAAAACACTAGTTCTTATAAAACAAATATTCTGAGAGTAATGCATGGCAATACAAAGTCCACTACCGGGTAAAAATTCATTATACTGGAACAAAATGCGAACTTGTTCTGTAACTTGTCATGGTGTCAAAAGTAAATACCATGACAATATCTTCAAGCATGACTAAAAACAGTGTGGAAAACTGATTATATGAGTGAATTTTTCAAGTCTAAGGACCATAACTCTGCACAAAATTATTAGACCGAAACAAAAATTTGAACTTGATCTGTAACTTGTCATGATAAAACTACATGTATATACCAATTACCAATCAATATCTTATAAGCATGATGAAAAAAACATTAGATATGATTAATAGTTCTCTAAAATTAGATATGATGTAATACAGTGTGTATCTATTTTCAAATAATAATGAGATATAATTAATAGTTCCAAATATTTTTTTCTTTCATTTGTCACAAACTAATATAGATTTGTAACTTATCTATAAAATGTCAACAACTTTTATCTACACAATGTAATGTATTGAAATATATACATTAATAAAAATAGATTATTATTTAATTAAAGGATTTCTCTTCATAATTTTTTTTTATATATAGCATTCAGAAAGTTAGTTTATACTAAATAACAAACAAACCTGTCAAAAAATTCTTCAAATAATTTAACAAAGAATGTCTTTTAAAAATGAGTTATCTCCCTTTGTACAGAAATATGGTTTAACATAGTACTCTAACATCAGATATGGTCCATAACTCTGGACTAAATCATCAGACCGGAACAAAATTCGAACTTGATCTATAACTTGTCATGATAAAACTATATACCAAATATCAAATCAATATCTTCAAGAACGAAGAAAAAAAGTGTGGAAAGCTGATTTGCCGGACTGACGGATGGACAGACGGACAGTAGGACAGACGGACGGAGTGCAAACCTAAAGTCCCCTTCGACGACTAATAAATACCACAAAGCAGTTCCATGTTACCATGTGTCCAATTGTACAACCCAAAGACTTTTTGATGTCACTCAAAAAGTATAATAGGCACACATATTTTGCCATAACTTAACTTGGAAGTCTTTGAATAAAACAATAGATTATGTATACAAACTACCACACTATTTATCTTATCTATTAATGTTTCTCCATCCTCATTGACAAGTAACATATATATAGCTTAATGATGAAGATACATACCGTGAATTTTCTAGCCATTTGTTCCAAGTCTGTATATGCATTTCTGGAATAATCTTTAGCTCCCCATCTCTAACAACCTGCAATATTTATACACTCATTATTATGCAGAACTTTTCTGATCATTTAATGGTACTTGGGCTTCTATTAAATCTTACAGTATTTTTCAACATGATAAGTATTTTTAATATTGTCTTTTTCTCATTAAATTTCATAAGTCATCCTGAAAATGTGGTTTATATGAAGTGAATCTGAAGGTCAATATTACTATTTAGGAAAAAACGTTTTGTTCCTTTAAAGGGTTGTGAACAACATTTTTTCTGTAAAAAAGGATTGACTTATATAGATTTTTACCATAAAGTACTTTCCTCAGTGTCAACTTTTATAAATCTTGATAATATATTTGCCATCAACATTTTTTTTAAATATTGACCAAAATCAATGTATTTTTCCCAAAAAGTGTCAAAACTACATTCATTGTGATGCAACGATTAAAAAACTACCTGTTTATAATTTTGTATAACCTCAACTTTAAAACAGATTTAAATCAAAAGTTAAAATTTCAGTTAATAGTTAGGCAAAATAAGGCCCTTCTTGCATCCTGTCCTTTATGGTACAGTACAACTCTACATTATAAAGTGCTGGACCAAATATCAAATATTCCTTAATTCAAAAGCTGAGTAATATATAATTAATATTAAAAGCTTATTAATATATAATTAATATTAAAAGCTTATTAATATATAATTAATATTAAAAACATATAGAGGAATGAATTGACAATATCACTGCAGTATACCAACCACTCCAAGAGGGTATAACAACAAATTCATTCATGCTTCTATCTAAAATTGATAGGCATTAAAGATTGATGCCAATAACTAACCTTAACAGCTGCCTCTGACATAACAACCTTAACAGCTGCCTCTGACATAACAACCTTAACAGCTGCCTCTGACATAACTAACCTTAACAGCTGTCAGAGAACTAACCGTAATAGCTGCCTCTGACATAACTAACCTTAACAGCTGCCTCTGACTAACTAACCTTAACAGCTGCCTCTGACATACTCTGCATACTGACATACCACTGAGGCTTCAATAAAGGTTCTATCACATCTTTAGATCGACTGTAAATAAAAAAAAAGTTTTGTCAGAATTACAAAAGTAAAGAATAATTATAATAATGGTTTTTAATTTTTTTTATTTATTTTAATGGTATAGCTCTGGAATGACAAATGTAAATGTTAATCTACTAAAGGACTATGAAATTTTCAGATTGCAAATTTGAAGATCAGCCATTTACTCAATATTCTTAGAATAAAGACCATTTCAATAATCTAATCCAATATTTTTTTTGTTTTATTTTGTGGGTTTTTTCTGCATTATTGATGGTTATATCAATCTAAAAGAGAGTTCATCCAACACACTCCAATAAGGATTGATGGATGGATGGCTGCTTAATGTCCAGTGGCAAATTTAATATGCATATTCAGGACGAGAACATAGTTATGTTATATGAATATTAATTCTACTTTGTACTTGAACGACATGCTGAGCCGGTTTTTTAACGTTCTAACAAGGTAACAGTCCGCAAGAAGACATGTCAACTTTCCCAGACACATTATTTTGACTCCGAGCCAACCAGTCTTTGCTCTTACTCTTTAATTGCGGAGAAGCAGCAAATAACAATTTTAAAGTTTTTGGTCTGACCCAGCCGGGGTTCAAACCCACAACCTCCCACACTTCAGGCGAACACGCTTCCACCATGGCGGTTCACTCCAAAAAGGGGACAATCAAAAGACTATCTGCAGAATATGGCGGACACAGTGAATCCAGTGTTAATCTTGCTATTCAGTACAGAAGACTCTGGCAAATCGGATACCCAAAATGTCAGCAAAAAATATATATCTCATTATCCGATATTTTCAATTAGACAATCAATGTATATTCATTGAATATTCTGCAATAATGAGTTGACCTAATCCTGAGATGTAATTAGCCATGACCACTGCTATATATATAAAAGGGTTCGAGTTATTTTTATCAGATTCATCACTACGATGTTTGTTATGTAATGCTCATATTTTTGTTTTTCAGTTTTTAAATCCTATATTTATTAAAACAAGCATTCTGTGAGTATTGCATGGCAATACATAGTCCCCTACCGGTTAAAAATTCATTGTAATGGAGCAAACCTACCACTAAATTCTTCAAACAATTTACTAAAGAAAAGGAAAAAAATCCAAAATGTCATTTATCTACAATGTCTTTTAAAAACTTTAAAAAAAAATGAGTTAGTTCCCTTTGAACAGAAATCTAGTAATTAATAAGTATTTCATCAAAAATTTAATTCAGAAAGTTAAATAAAATGCTTCACTGATCGCAGCCTGATACGACCGCAGAGGTTGAACCCTGAACAGTTGGTACAAATTTGGACACAATATTCAAGCTTGATACTGTCTGAATTTGGATTGTGATCAAATTTTTGACATAATATAGATTCCTGACACAAAATAAATGTGGTCAAAAATCTTACAAATCTATTGCGCAATACTGTGCAATTGAAGATTTCTTCTTGAAACTTTTCAAAAATTCAAAATTTGAAAAATTTTGAAAAAAAATATGAATCCTCTAAAAAAATTGGAAAAAACATCCCCCAAATTTTTTGAAACCCCCCTTGGAGCAATAATCTCAAAACTTGATCCCAGCCTTTCCTTTGTAGTATGGAACCTTGTAGTACAATTTCAGAGAGATCCATACACATAAACACAAGTTATTGTCTGGAAACTAGAAAAATGCTTGTTTTTGGCCCTTTTTTCCTACATATTTGGGCAATTAACCCCAAACTCAATCCTAGCTTACCCTTTGTGATATGGAACCTTGTGGTACAATGTCAGAGAGATCCATACACTCACACACAAGTTATTGTCTTGAAACTAGAAAAATACTTGTTTTTGGCCCCGTTTTGGCCCTTAATTCCTAAACTGTAGGCCCCATAACCCCTAAAATAAATCCCAACCTTCTACTTGTGGTATTAAACATTGTCGTACAATTTCAAAGCAATCGAAATACTTATACACAAGTTATTATCCTGAAACTAGAAAAATGCTTGTTTTGGGCCCCTTTTGAGCCCCTAATTCCTAAACGGTTGGGACCATCATCCCCAAAATCAATCCCAACCTTCCTTTTATGGTATTGAACCTTCTTAAAATATTTCATAGAGATCCATTCACTTAAACTAAAGTTATTGTCTGGAAACCAATATGTCTTCGGACGACAACTCAGACGACGACATCATACCATTATACGATCCCAAAATTTTTTTTGCGGTCTTATAAAAATGAGTTAATTCCCTTTTGAACAGAAATCTAGTAATTAATAAGTATTTCATCAAAAATTTAATTCTAGGGAAAGGGCTTTAACTGAACAAGGAGAAAAGCTAAAATTTTGAAAATCAAACATGACCTGTAACTTGTCATGATAAAACAATACACCAAATATCAAATCAATATCTTCAAGCATGAAGAAAAAAAGTCTGGAAAACTGATTTGCCGGACTGACGGATGGACAGACGGACAGAGTGCAAACCTAAAGTCCCCTTCGACTTCGTCGGTAGGGGACTAAATAAATCAAATGTCCAGAAATATTTATGTGAATAAATATCTACCATCCATAGTATGTGTCTTTATCTGTTTTATATACGAAGTAATATCCGTATTTACATTTGTATGTGGTAAAATCACAGGTAAGCCAATCGGGCTATAAATAGATTATAGCATGTTCTGTCTCTAAACTGAAATCGAATTTGTTATATATTTTATTTCTTTGAATAATCAAATTTCTTTGAATATCAAAGAAGATAATCATACTTAATAAAAAATATTATTGCATCAAGTTAAAGTTTTCTGAAGACTATTGATGTTTTGGTCATGGTTCTAGAGGCTTCCTCACATTTTGTAAACAAAAGAAAATGGCGTCCATGACATGTGGTCAAACCTACAATGTTACAAAATTATATCTGACAAAAGTCAGATTTCTCTTGGCAAACAGGATATGTATATTGCAATAAATTATTCAGAAGGAGGTACATTCAGTCTAAATTATATTTCTGATTCTGTGAGCACTTAAGAGTTTTATCAAAATTTTCCCAACGTATTTCTCTTGTACCGTATATTTTATAAATAAATTCAAATTGCATGTTAAGGGCATCTAATTCGCATTACATTTTTTGTACAAAGGAAGACAATGAATAAAGACAACACTTTATTAAGAAATAGTTCCTTTTATTAATTAAAAACAAAATTTTCTTGTCTGCAAGATTGTAATTGCGTAACTTCCAGGTCCGTTTCCTGTCAGAAAAATATTGAAAATATCCGATTGTGCATGGTTTTGAACAAAATTTCCTGAATATTCTTATCTTATTTGCTGATATATTCTTTTATCCGATATTGGATTATATGATAAAATTAACATTAAACGTTTAGGGAAGGGTTTGGTGTTTTGAAATAATATTACAATAGCCTATGTATTCGTTTAGCTGATATCCGATTAGGTGGAGTCTACTTGATAAAAAATGACACTGACCTGCAGATTGGAACAACCATAGGGTTATCTTTTGTTTCTTTGTAAAAACCCTTGTCTTTTAGAGCTTTCAACACAGCTTTCCTAGCTTCAAATCTTTTCATTCCCTGAAGACAACAAATTGTGTAAATCTTATAGCTTTTTGTTAGCAAAGAAATGTATAACTCTTAACTTTGGTTTGTAATCTCCAATAACTACTGTAAATTCAGAAATTATTGCGTGCATTTATTATTGCGATTTTTCAAGAATGGACAAAAATGCGCGTTTTATTATTGCAATTTCGAAAAAAGTGCAAACAGGTCTATATTTCAGTTATCAGAATGCAAGTTCTTGTTATTGCGATACTCATCCCGTCGCATTATTCGCATTAATAAAAACATATCAATAATTTCTGAATTTACAGTAACATAAGAATGACATGAGGTGATTTATGCTGTAATGAAAAAAATAGCTACAAAAAAATTAGAAGTAAAACAAATGCTCCTTGAACAGCAAAACACTACCCAAGACAAAATAATTAAAGCCAGCCTTTCTAATTCACAGCAAATTGAACCTAATTCTCTTGACACCTTTTTGTTTTATCATTTGAGACAATTTAAGTACCATATCTGTGCAAATGTAAATTAAAGAACCTTAGTGAGCGCGCTCACATACCCCACGTCCCCATATTGTCACTGGAGAAATAAAATAACTGTAAGAAAAAAAAATTGTATAAGAAAAAAATAATTGAATCATAATTTCCTGTCGATATGCACATCTACATAGTATGTCCTTATTATCTACAAAGTTTCATGAAATTCTGTTGTGTGGTTTAAGAGGAGTTGCAATGACAAACTCTTGCAGAAGTATATTGAAGCAAATAAGTTCAAAGGGGCGTAACTCCTAGAAAAAAATTGAATCATAATTTCCTGTCGATATGCACATCGACATAGTATGTCCTTATTATCTAAAAAGGTTTCATGAAATTCTGTTTAGTGGTTTCGGAGGAGTTGCAATGACAAACCGTTGTAGTAGTATATTGAAGCAAATAAGTTCAAAGGGGCGTAACTCCTGGGAAAAAAACTGAATCGTAATTTCTGTCGATATGCACATCTACGTAGTATGTCCTTATTATCTGAAAAGGTTTCATGAAATTCTGTTGTGTGGTTTGAGAGGAGTTGCGATGACAAAAGGTTGCAGTAGTATATTGGGCAAATAAGTTCAAAGGGGCATAACTCCTGGAAAAAAATTGAATCGTAATTTCCTGTCGATATGCACATCTACGTAGTATGTCCTTATTATCTGAAAAGGTTTCATGAAATTCTGTTGTGTGGTTTGAGAGGAGTTGCCATGACAAGAAACAGGACTGACGGACGGACAGACGGAAGGACAGACGGACTTGTCAAAAACATTATACCCTCCACAACTCGTTGCATGGGGTATAATAAGAGTTTTTAAATTTCGTACATCCAAAACTCTTTTCTTGTTTTAAAAATGATCTTACATACCTGAATATGTGAAGAGCTATATAACCAAAAGGGACAGTAAATTGCCAAATTCATCTATAAAGGCTGATTAGCCCTGAGACGTGGGACATAATTTATTTATTTATAAACAGAGAAGTTAAGAATAGTATGTTATAAATCATATCAGTATTGCAGCACCATTTACGACTTGAAACTCTTACTAAACCAACATGTTTAAACCCGCCACATTCTGTATGTATATGCCTGTCCCAAGTCAGGAGCCTGTAATTCAGTGGTTGTCGTTTGTTTATGTGTTACATATTTGTTTTTCGTTCATTTTTTGTACATAAATTAGGCCGTTAGTTTTCTCGTTTGAATTGTTTTACATTGTCATTTCGGGGCCTTTTATAGCTGACTTTGCGGTATGGGCTTTGCTCATTGTTGAAGGCCGTACGGTGACCAATAGTTGTTAATTTCTGTGTCATTTGGTCACTTGTTGAGAGTTGTCTCATTGGCAATCATACCACATCTTCTTTTTTATATCTTCATTAAAGTAAGTATATACAGTATCAAGAGTCAAAATTGTTAACAAGATAACCAATGTTCATCATCTGACTTTTATGTTTATGGTCATCTTAATAATCATATCTTATAACAGGACTTAAAATCAGAAAAATAAAACATGACATAAAACTACACATAGGGATCTTTTACAACTACAGGTACCATTTTTTTTTTAAATTTTGCTAAGAATGACCAAGTCACAAAATCTGAGAAAAAAAAGGAAAAAACCTAAAGCAATAGCGAAATCAAAGGTGCACAACTATTGCATAACAATTGTGCAATCTTTCTGGTTTCAACACTTTAGGAGGATACATTACACAAAATAGGTACTGTATTTCATAAATTTTGCTGAAAAAATGAAAATGATTCAGCTCCCAAGTTTGAAACTAATTCCCCTTAATTAAAGGAGGCAAAATTACAAAGTTATAATACATATAATATAATGTTCCACAAGAGAAACATAATTTTACAAACAGAGAAAATCAAAGCTGACCTGTATTTCATATAAGAATTTGAAAAGCTAAAAGCCATGTGTACATACACTAAATTCTCCACAATCAGCAGATATATTCCCTTCATCATCAATCATTGTAATGAATGGTAAATTGTGTCGTTTTCCACACTCGTAATCATTCTGATCGTGAGCAGGTGTAATCTTCACAGCACCTAAAATTGAAGAAATAACTTTTTAATAAATTCAGTCAGACAATAAATTTATTTTTTTAACACAAGAAAATCGAAAGATAATGTAACTATTCATCAAGAACTTGAGAACAATGTGATATTATTGAGAGAAAAATTTACAGGAAATAATGACAAGCATTACAAAAGTTTACTGTTTATCACTGACTTCAGTTTTCATTTAAACTGTCCTACCCGGTATATGAATCAAGAGTCAAATTAGATTTGTTGTAATAGATGTGATCAATATACTCTAAGTCATAATTTAATTGGGTTTGAAATTATCCTCAGTATTAGGAAATGTAACAAGATCTTGATGTTTTCTAAGATAACTTCCATTAGAAAAATCCACTGCTGTCTTGAATTCATTAACTTAAGAAATCAATAAAAATATGTCATATATACATAATTGAACTTCATACTGGTTTCATTTTTAATTCCTGATGAGTTATACACTTTTTAACTTGATAAAATATGTATGCTGTAGTTTTTGTAAACGCCAAAATCTTATGCCCAACAATTAATAAAATTGACAATGAATTTTGGTGAACTAAAGACCAGAAAATAGAATATACCAGACTGTTCTTACATAAAATATTGTATATGATAAATCCATAAATACAAATTGTTAAAAAAATTGAAACAAACAAATCATATAAACCACACATTTAATTTTTCTCCACCTCACTGTACAACGTACCTGTACCAAACTCTATATCAACAAAGTCATCACAAATTATTGGCATACGACGATCAACAAATGGATGTTTGACAAATTTTCCATGCAGGTGTGAATATCTCTTGTCTTCTGGATGGACAGCTACAGCAGTATCACCTAACATGGTCTCTATACGTGTAGTGGCCACAACAAGTTCTTGATCTGAGTATATAGTTACAACGTGTAAGGTTAACATAAAACATAACACACATATAAAACAGATTTTGTATCAGTGATGATTCAGGGCAATTCTGCATATTCATTGGTATTTTATATCAGCAATTCAAAACTATTAAAATAAATTTATAGATTTATAGACAGTGTTATGGTTTTCACTTACTCAGAGATTCAGCATACCACATGATTTAACATTGTACAGTGAAGACTATTTGTAATGCTTTTTAGAATTTCATGTTGAACATGCACTTTCTCCTATTTTATTTTTTTTGGCAGAAGGTCACAGAAATCTAATTTTGAACAAATGTTTTGCTTAGGCTAAAAAAAGTTGCTAGTCCAATTTATAAGTATTTCATTAAAATAAGCAGATGCCTTATTTTTTACATAACTAGCAATGTCATATTTTTAAAAAGTGTCATAAGGCAGATAAATTATCCAGTTGAGAAAACAATTCCTGTAATATTTCAATGTTTTTAAACATTACTGAGTGTTCAATATTAAATAATTTCATTAAAAAAATGGAGAATGTGTCCATTAGACACAGATGATGCCCCCTCTTGCATATAAAGTTATAAAGGGACAAAAGAAAGTGACTAGAGAACTGTAAAAATGACACCATCCAAATTCGAACTCAATCTGTGTTTTATGGCAAAAAGATAAGTTTCATAACATTTGGTGGAGGCAAACTAAAGTTACAGAACGGAAACGAAAAATTCAGCAATTTTTTCATTTATAAAGGGGCATAACTCTAGAATGGTAAAAGTGACGCCACCCAAATTCCAACTTGATCTGTGTTTTTGTGGTAATAAGCATTGTGTACAAGTTTCATAACATTTGGTTAAGGCAAAAACTAAAACTTAAGTTAGAGAACGGAAACTAAGTTGGGGATGTACAGACGGACAAGGGCAACACTTAATGCCCCTCCACTGCGGCCATTTGGTAAACTATGAAATTCTTGAATACTTGTGATGCAATACCTGTAAATTAATCAATACTTTCATTCACATATATAGTTACATTTGTTTGTACATTCAGTAACATTTCAAAGACTTTCAGAGGTTGTATAAATGAGATCTGTATAATACTTTAGTGACTTTTTAGCAGCCCTTTTGTTTAATAAAAACAAGACTGGTATTGTACAATTTCAAACCCAGCCCCACTTTTAGTGTACAATAGTTTACAGTTTTTTCAAGTATAAACACTATGAAATTTCAAGCTGACCAGTATGATAAACTACTTCTCTCTTCCCTTTTATTAACTGTATAATTCTTATTTAATTATTTCCCTCATATTATCAGTGTTTAGACTGGAGGGCTGGAAGGATTTCTCCATAATCTTTTATGCACTTTTCCTAACAAAACTGTAGATGAACTCAAATTGACCCTTTTTAAAATTTAGTTCTATCCCTGAATCGGCCTAACAAACTATAACAGCATAAAGTGAGAAAAAATCTTGAACTGAGAGCACTTATTGCTTGCTATGGTCCTTAAAAGTGTTTAAAACAAACAGGCAATGGCTATTTAGAAAAAATAATGCACTTTTATCTAGATTAGCAAATATTTGATTATGAATATTTTTTTGAGAGGCGCATTACTGATGCCAGAGTTTTCTTTGGTATTTATATCAAAAGCTATCTTTTACAGACTGACTATATCTGATTCCATATTACCTGAATCTTCAACAGGGTAGGCAAAAGACACCAGTACACCAAACTCAACTTTGTCTTTATACCCTGGAACTGGTAAAAATGTTCGACCAGTTAATTCTTTCTTATCCACCTGAAAAAATAAAGGACTAATGATTTGTCTAATCCCAGGCCATAATCTTGCCGGCGAAATGACGATTTAAGTCGCCAAAGAATTTTGAAAATCGCTAAATCTCGCCGGCCGACTGACTTCATAGCGAAGTCAAATCGCTATCAAAATCGGTAAAAGGGAGACAACTTGTGATTGACAAGTCTCACAGTTAAAAAAAATGGCGGCTGACAAGGAAAATCGAGATTTTCGAAACGACCCAGGATTATACTGTAAACGATCAAATTAAATAAATACAACGGCGACTTTGAACATCCTCGGATATAACTTTCAAAACTGTTGAAACGGAAAACTGACCGTCTGTTTAAGTTATCGTTTTACGATGATTTTCATCTGAGGATGTTGCGTAATCACTCAGCTGATTTGTTTTATTTTTATTACCTACACGAGTCGATCAATTTTGCTATTCGGTAGGTAAAGGGTGGGAATTAACGGTAGATTTATTATATTCATTGAATAAAAATTGAAATATAAAAGGTAGAAAGACAGCTGATAGATAATGTGATTGCAAACGTACGACACTCGACCAGATTGTGATCAGCAGTGGATTTTTTCTCATGACCACTCCGTTGATATGGATGATATTTTTAAAAAATGATAGAAATTAGCTCTTTATCGGACAATTAACTTGAGATTGAAAGATATATTCATTTATAGACTTACAATCTTTAACGATAATCTCAATTTACTACAACTAACATAAATGTCCTGGAAATTCAATAATGTTTTACAAAACAATGACAAGTGGTGTTATAAATTAAATTCCCAGTCATGTGAAATTCATCATATTTTTCTGGAGTTTTAAAAATAAATTGAGGCAGATGCACATGAATTCAATGCATCATAATCTTGATAATATTACTAGGCTACTCCCTCATGTCCCAATCAACAAATTTTATTTAGAACACATTATGGTATCAATAAATAAATAACAACTATGTATTGTCTAAACCTTTTTATTAAGAACTTTCTATATAAACATTGTGTACAATACCATATGAAAAAACTGCAAGTACATCTTTTATTGAATATAAAACAATTTCCTTAGTGATAAGCTTGAAAACACGATGCAACCGAAACGGTAATGGAATCTCACTTCTCCAAGAAGTTGACCACTTCTCCCTTCTCTCTCATGGAAGGAGAAGTCACTTCTCCCTCTTCAAAATCCTAGATTAGGCCCTGTAATCCATAATTTGAACAACAGGAATCCTTATATTCACCATAACAAACATATAAAAATATTCACCTTATACAGTTATATCATTACTGCAGATAATTCCCATTCAAAACAATTGTTTTTGCTATCATGTACAGATATTTATCTGCCTAGCTTATTGCAATTCATTGGATTTTACAATCATGTACATCAGATTTTGATCAGTTTTACATATTTCATCTGTAGTATCAATAGCCTTTAATAAGGTGTAAGGGTGGTATATACACAAGACAGATTTATTATGACCTTCTGAATTCAGATTAGCATTTTTAAAGAAAACTTTTTTATGAGTCTGACATCCTATTATAATGATGTCTTACACTTTGGTTATTTTGTTATATTATGGTACATATAGCTTAATTACTACTGAAGTTTTCCTCTAATACCGATAACATCATCCTCAATTACAGGAGTGTGCATGTGGTTCCATAAATAGGTGTAGTCTATAATTGAGGTTTGAATCACAAAGGATTTTCTACTCTTTATATCACAATGTAACTAATATGAGCAGAATGGCCCTTCCTTGTACAGACTTAACAAAAAATTATGCTATCTCACAGATCATGAAGAATCATTTCTAAAATTTAATAACATGTCTATTTTTATTTTACTTTTCGCAATGATTAAGGACAGAACAGAGGCAGAAAACGAGAAATCTGCATGATTTCCTTGTTTGAATTGTTTCACATTTGTCATATCAAGGCCCTTTATAGCTTTAATATTATTAGTATGGGTTTTGCTCTATTGTTTTAGGCTGAACAGTGACATATAGTTATTAACTTATACATCTTTTGATCTCTGGTGGAAAGTTGTCTCATTGGCAATCATACCACATATTTTTATTTTTATAGTGTATACCAGTAAACAATTAACTGTGTTACCTCTATATCCGATATGGCAGATTTAAGTGTACAGGACCAGTTCACAAGTCTAACAGATCTGTAGATCAACTTCTTTTCGTGTAATCTAATGAAAGCCTCCTTCACAGCTTGGCACAATTTCTGTTTAAAAATTACATATCATTAAGTTACTAGCAAAGCTTGATCACTATAGAGAATTTACATCCTTAGCAGGTATATATATTTTAACTTTGACACAAATGCAATGGACTATTAAACATTTATCACTGGCAGGACATAATTCTTATCAGAAAGAGCATCTGTATCAACCTTTACTGTGGTTATCACAGAAACTATATTTACTTGGAAATTGCTACACTATACAAATATGTACTGAACATTTTTACTGCTTTAAATATTTATTCTCAACTAATTTTAATCCAATGAACGAAAAATAAAACTTTATAAACTTGATACGGATGCCCATACCCCAAATTTGAAACCGTAAGATGTAGAAATACTTGATATGTGATGAGCTATATGATCATAGAACATAAAAAGAATAGCAAAATCAATCTCAAGTCAATTGCTAAATTGTTTAGCAGTTACTTTTTTCTTCAGGATAAAGAAAGTTATGGTTTCAAAAGCAGCTGTAGCACATTCTAAATTATCATGTATCTTCATTTATCAAAACAGCCATTGATTGGAATAATAAAATAGATGGACATGACTTTGTAAATGAAAAGAGTGGTGGTTGATTATTATTTTTTTCTATAACCAAGTCTGTACAGAGCATAACAAGGCATTACATTCATTATTTATAAGTCTTCTAATTTGGCTATCTATGTCTTTGTATACATCTTAGTGTTTTTTGTCAAATTAAGGAATGATAATATGGTTGACTATATCAAATTGTTTCACAGCTTGGCTAATCTCAGATATTTAGATGCTGACATGTAAATATTTATATGTTAGGGACCATTATATATGGTGATCGCTTAAGGTCTATTCTCGCTTAACTGCATTGTTGGGTTGCTGTCTCTTCAAAGGATATCCACATTTATTTTTATCCTTGATAATTGGTTCTTATAAAATAAAACTTACAGGATCCATGGTAAAACAAGCTCTGTCCCAATCATAAGAGCCTCCTAATTTCTTTAACTGGTGATATATTCTGTCTCCTTTCCTGTTCAAAGATTCATAACAAACTATTAAATAATAAAATGTCTGCCTCTTCATGTATAGCTTTGTCTTGAATAAACATAAAATGCTACTTTCACTTTGTCAATTGATGTTAACAGTAAACAACTATCAATCAGGTATACATGTACTTGGAAAAGTTTGGAAAAGAAAATTTATACATTCAAACATGGAAAATCTTAAGTAAATACAATTTTGTTTCTTAATTATTTTCTTTGTACACTATTACATTTTAGTACTTTAAATATTAGATAACTGTAATTCAAAAGTTTTCAATTCTCAAGCAGTTTTTTAACTATAGAGATGTCGTAATAATGAAGATGATAAACTACTGAACTTTAGCAAGCACCTGACATTAAACAGACAATCCCTATAATGGCGTCCATACCATCATACCAGAGCAGATTGACTGCAACTTGCCAATCTTACAATACTTAAATTTATACCTACAGCTTTTTAGATCAAGTCCCTCCTGACAATAAATTAAGGAAAATACTGTATTAAATATCTTACTCATTTTTCCAATTCCACACTTGTTCAACAAATTTTTCTCTTCCAAGTTCATGTCGACTTATTTTCTTCTCCCTCATTAGTTTTTTCTCCACAACAACTTGTGTTGCTATACCAGCATGATCACAGCCAGGGTTCCACAAAACAATCTTACCATGCATTCTGTGCCTACAATATTTATCTAAATATTGAGTTTTTTTAATTGGCAATCATACCATATCTTATTTTTTGATTTCCTGATTATTTTTTTTTTGGCAGCATAATCATGATAATGCACAAAATATGTATAGTACCTGACATAAAACATTCAAAATCAGTGATACCAGTAACAAGTTCAATAAAGAGCTGCACCATGAATGCTTGATACGCCCGTCGCTTTTTCAACGAATAAAGTTCCATTACTCCTCAATGTCATATCAAAAATTTATAAAAAAAAAACTAAACGGAGCTTATTTTAATTGATATAAACCAGTCACCAAAGTTTCAAGTTTTTTTGGTTATTTGGTCTTTGATAGTTGCTTTTATAAACAAGAGATGAAATTTAGACCTTTTATATGTTTTATAGACACCTGTCTACTGTTGGTCTGCAGGGTATCTGTTGGCGGTCGCCATTTTTACATTTTGCCAAAAAACATATAATAGTGGCGATTTTAAATCATAAATGGCGTAAGAATTGGAGAAAGAAATAAAATGGTTCGAATTCGTTCACTCCCCCCCCTCATTTCTTTTATTCATATTACAAAATTGTGCATAGTAATAAGTCAGTGATACTGTCAACTACCAGAATATTGGGGGAAAAAAATTTAAATAGACAGACAGTAGCAGCATACCAACATTTTACTATCAGCGGTTTTTATCACAAACAGGTTTTTCTCACTTTTATTCATGTCATTGTAAAAGCAATCAAGAGCCATAACTCCTGTTGGCAAGAGTGAAAATTGTCAAATCTTGACTTCCATTTTGTCTGAGAACAATTTACCAATCAATCAATCAATCAAGGACCATAATCCCTGAAAGGCAGAGATGAAATTGCAAAGGAGGTGGTTCAATAACTTATCATTATCTGAAAGTTTTTAACTGCAATAATGTTATGATAATTTGATGAAAACATATGTTAAAATGTCTACCGGTAATTGTTTCAGTTAAAAAAAAAGATTTTTTTACCAATAACATCACTAATATCAAGTATCAATATTAATTGGGTATCATGCATTGAATATTTGAAATTCAATCATTGATTGGCAGTCAATATGTGTGTCTTTCAAGCAAAGGACTACTGTAACACCAGGGGTTTCATTGGATGTGCCAGTTTATAGAGAAACTGAATTCATATCTAACTAAATATAGACAAGATTTTTTATACCATTGGTTTCTTACATGTCAAAGTTCTCAGAAAAGTCATCTTAATTGCAATCTAAAATTTAAACTTTATCTTTTAACAAATACTCTTGTCAAAAAGATGTGCAAAACTTGAACAAATGTCAAACTTACCATCTAGTAATAGCATCTTCAACAGCATTTGTAAGAGCATGACCTAAATGTAATGATCCAGTAACATTAGGTGGAGGTATTACCATCACAAATTTATCTTCATATGCTACGTTGGTAAAATCTCTTCCCTGCATTAAACAGAACACATCAATCTTAAACTAGAGGCTTCCAGGAGCCTGAATGGCTCACCTTGTCAAAATATGCAATATTAAAATCATTAAAAAGAATGACAGCAATCCCTCACACATATACTAAGATTTCATAAGGTTTGATCCTGATGCACTTGGAGAATTTATTCATTTTTTAAAGTACCTCATTAAAGGAAAATAGTACAAATAAGAAATGAGTTGATGATTTCTATAACTTTAATTTCTTGTAGATATTGTCTTCTGATCATTTTTGCTGTTAACAGTTTCTTTTTATCAATTACAGTTTTCATGATAAATGCAGACACTGCTAAAATTGGTAAAAAATTGTCATTTAGGGCATACCTGGTCACCCGCAAGATCAGATCGAGAAACTTCTGTGAAGACAGACATAAATATCAGAATCCTTAAAATCAGTACGACACCCATGCATGAGTTTATATTCTCCTGTATCAGAAGTATTGCCCTGTATGACCTGCATTTGAAACCTACGACTTTTTATTCAACTTAAGAATGTAAACAATTGGCTGCCAAACCATTACAATAATACATGTACTAGATGAGTTGTTTTAACCATTACAATAATACATGTACTAGATGAGTTGTTTTAACCATTACAATAACACATGTACTAGATGAGTTGTTTTAACCATTACAATAATACATGTACTAGATGAGTTGTTTTAACCATTACAATAACACATGTACTAGATGAGTTGTTTTAACCATTACAATAATACATGTACTAGATGAGTTGTTTTAACCATTACAATAACACATGACATGTACTAGATGAGTTGTTTTAACCATTACAATAACACATGACATGTACTAGATGAGTTGTTTTAACCATTACAATAACACATGACATGTACTAGATGAGTTGTTTTAACCATTACAATAACACATGACATGTACTAGATGAGTTGTTTTAACCATTACAATAACACATGACATGTACTAGATGAGTTGTTTTAACCATTACAATAACACATGACATGTACTAGATGAGTTGTTTTAACCATTACAATAACACATGACATGTACTAGATGAGTTGTTTTAACCATTACAATAACACATGACATGTACTAGATGAGTTGTTTTAACCATTACAATAACACATGACATGTACTAGATGAGTTGTTTTAATGAACTATTTCTGATCACTGTACAACACATAACATTTATGAGCTTAATCAATTTTTTTTAATTATTTAAGGAATGACTGTAATATTTTTTCTGTCTATGAAGAAATTACATAAAAAATGTGGTGCACACAGAATAACCTGCAAAGCGGGTTATTTAAAAGTGTGCACCACATTTTTTAGGTTATTTCGAATAGACAGAAAAAATATTAAAGTCAGTCTTTATAATTTAATTCTAAATTCCATTTTTAAGGAGTAAATCATAAATAAAACATTGATGACGTCACGGTCATATGACTAAATTATGTCTATGAGCTGATAGACAAAAAACTTTCAGCCAATTAGAAGACGTGTTACATCCAAAATTAAATTATTCCATATTAGACTGATCATGTTGGTAGATTGACAGTTAACATTTAGATACAGTCTGGGGTTAAAGTATTCTAGAAATCAATAATTTTGTCAAACCTTAATGGAACTTTATGAAAATTTGAAAGAAGTTTCTTCATTATCAATGAATAGCATCTGAAGAAAACATTTGAAAATTTTATTTTCACTTTTCCATATTTAACTGATAAATAACTTAACTTTTTAAGTAACATTACAAACTAGGTCATGTAGGTAAAGTTGTTTTATAAAATCAATAATCTTTTTCAAACATTGATGGAATTGCAGGAAATTTCAACACCATGTTCTTTATAAGAAATTGACAACTATGGCAAAACTTCTTCATTATCAAGAGATAGTACTCTGCCAAAACCTAGATTTTTCCTTCTTAATTTTTCTGCATTTTATTGATAGCATGACAACATTGCATGTCTGTCTCTGTTTGGTTTTTTTAAGATTTTTGGTCTTGTGTTGTTCTCTGGAATGCTAATTTATCACAATCACAATGAGCAATGTCGAACTTGTTGGGTCGCTGACTCATTGATAGATATTCCATACTTCCTAATATTAATTACATGTACATTGTTAACATGAGCATTTACAACAGGTATATATTAGACATAATTGATCTTACACCATACTCTGGTTTGAAGAAACCCTGTTCCACCCACCAATCGTACCAAACAGCCTCTACATACTGAGGACTGTAGGCATCTGGCATCACCCCTGATATATCTACAAAGGAAAATTATATCTCCTTAAAATATTAAATCTTATATTAGCTCCAGGAGACTCAGATTCTAGCCTATATTATGGGTCAAACATCTAGTTACTACACTGATAAAATTGTCACAAACAGGAAAGGGGCTAAAAAGTCAAACATAACTGCATTCATTCAGCGAACTGATGAAATAGCTTTGTAGCATATTAGGTGTTAAGCTTTCATAATTGTTTTGTACTCCATTTTACAGAAACAAATTAACAATGTCGCAGATTTCTAATTTGCATATGATTTTAAAAGCAAATTAAACTTGAACTGAAAATCTAAATTATTAAATTCATTTATCTCTTGTCATTCATCCTGAAAATTGTTCACTGGCAATAATCAACTTGTCAAATTATGATGTTCATGAATATAGCTTGAACTTTTTTGTCTAACTTGGCTTTGGGTCTGTTAATATGATTTTACCTTTTTTTTGACCTGGTTTTGTGTTTCCTTCATACTTCACAACAGTCTTTTCCTTCTTTTCTTTCTTTTTCTGTAAAATAAATAATGAAAGAAGATATTAAACAATTAAAGAATTATGTAAATAAAATAAACTGTTGACATAAAGATACAATGTATGTCTCGCCTGTCGACAGAAAATTCACAAAAAGACAATCTGATGGACAGCAATATTGCTAATTACATTGTAATTAAAAGTTGCTGGAGGATGACTTTGGGGCCAGGGACTCGAAATTGTCGACAAACTGAGATGTACATGCTTGATGCATCTTTGGACTCACTATGTGAGAATACATGTATGATGAGTTCAGACAGATATGGTAAACCCGCCCACTCCCATTTACTTCCGTGAATATTTCGTCTGCTATTTCATACATAGGAACTGTACTTACCATCACTGCATGTCAAATGTTATAGAAAAATCCTTAAATACGAAAATATCTAGTGATATATATATAATACATTTCCTAAAGCTACAGATGATCATATTCAGGGTTTAAGCTAGGATTTTGAGGGCTTTAGTCACTTTTGCGCGAGATGAAAATCAACATTATTTTGGGTAACAGCAAAGGGACCAAGGATGTGTGTATATAACTAGCTATACATCTTTGTCAAACTTTGAAGGACTAAGGCATAAATTTACTAGGCAGTAACTGCAATGGTTTGACTGATGTGGCACTTCAAAAATGAAGATTAGGATATAAAATCTGGAAATCTAGTTCAAACTTTCACTACGGCCCCAGCTTGTCTGGCGATATAGCCGTTGGACGTCAGAGTAATCTCGGACTAACTTTCACTTCAATAAGTTTCATGTGCCCAACAAAAAATGGCTTCAATTTGTCAGTTGGAACAAAGGATTTGTACAAATCCTTATTGGAACGATTCTAATAACTGTAAATTGTAATCGAGAATTGATCACGTTTACTTTCGATTTTCAAATGAAATAAAACGGGAAGTGACAAGTAGATTAATTATAAATTCAAAATGAATCCGGATTCATCTACGGATTGGTTCGTGTTTAAAAAAGGCAGGAAATTATCATTTTTTTATTTTAATTTGCTTATTAAGAGCTATATTTGTCTCTTTCATTTATTTTGATACTAAATTTATTTCGTATTTTACGTTTTAGTGTCTTTAAATTCATAGGAATACTTTCACGCATGCGCAGTACATCGGAAAGGAAGCACCTGTTTGACTCGTGAAAACATTTCTGAACGTTCTGAATAAAGTTCTATCTTTTTAATCGAAATTGAAAGTTTTACATCAAAGATGACGAAAATAGGATCATTTGCCGAAACTACGACAAACGAACTGCAAATTGTGATCATTTTAGAAACATTGAAATTAAAAAGCGAACTGTCAGGGGGAAAACAATATTTTGTTCAAATGACGAAACTACGACAAACGAACTGCAAATTGTGGTCGAAGGCCTTTGGAAATATTGAAATTTAAATACCGACTGACTGATTTAACTGGGGAGAATAATTATGATGGTCAATTATGAAGTTTGGTAATAATTAACAGATTAGTGACCCATCCGATGGCGATAAGCGGATTAACTGTAATCACAACTTTATAACACTTGTTGTAAATGTTAATTAGCGGAGGGTCATAAACTTGTCAGAAACATAAAGACAGGTAGAATTGTTTTTCAATGCGAAAATATTTTTACACTTTCCAAATTCAAGTGACGAAACTGATTTGAAATACTTTCGTCATTTTGAAAACAGTTTTGTAAATGACGAAAGTGACGAGCGCTAGCAAAATCACTGATCATATTATTGCTTACAAAACTCGTTTCTGACTTGAAATTTATTATTTTTTCGATTGTCTGGAATCCCTCTAATATCTCTATAAGTGGTCTATTAACATGATTAATAGATCATCTTTTCCTTTCATAAATATGTGATAAACTGGCCCTCCATACATATTTACTGCAGATGGGCGGATTTACCGGACAAACACATTTCCGATAAAAACACAATGACCCACTTGTTTTGATGTTTTTAAAATTTATTTCAGTTATTTTTTTGGAAATGAGATAAACTACTCAAAATTGATTTGTCAGTGAATCGATTTATATTAAATTTGATACAATTTGTATATAATTAAGCAGAAATACATAAGATCAAAGCCTTATGTGGGTGGATTTACCGGACTGCATCATACATGTACATGTCTCATTGAGAAATCTATAATAGAATTTTATATTACGGTGTATATATATATATAATCAGTCTCAATCATGTTAACATTCAGTAGTAAACAACCGGGGGCAATCAAGTGAATGTGGTGTATTTACCCATTACAGGATATAAAAAAGCTATAAGTCGATTTCAACAATATAAAACTGTCTCAATATTCTACCTGGGAGTCCCCTTCCTTCTTAGGTTGATCTTGCTTCTGTTTGAGTTTTTCCTGTTTTGCCTTAAATTTCTCAAGTTTTTCTTGTTTTTGTTTTTCTTTCAACAGTTCTTTTTCAGACTTTACTTTTGGTACACCCTGTTCTGGCCCATCTCCAACAGCCGGCGAACTTTCGCTTTCCATTATACCGAAATCGATGATTTGTGTGTCAACAATTGATAATATAATATTCAAAGTCAAAATGATGCAATATTGTGAAAGTACTTTTTGATACAATGTGTTGAAATATTACAGATTGTCGCTAAATAATTAAAATTGGTGAGACATATCTCAAAATTTCTGTGATTGCAGCATACACATGGCTAACCCGGAAGTGAAACCTCAAATAAAAAAATATCGGGCACGTATCTGGTCATTTATCCGGAAAATGGTATTTAACGATCTGAAAAATATCAAACTTTGGTGGGTTTTTTTCACACGGAAATACAACCCTTACAAACCACAAACAAAAAAGTAAGACGCACACACACACACAAAAAACCTTCTTGCAAAATAAAAAAAATATTTATCCTCATTATGACGAAAATAATATGCAGAGTTATGCTATCTGATGAGCTCCCGAAAGTTATACTTCGCTCTTTAGCCGTCGAGATTCACGTTGATAGTAAACATGCATATAAAGAGTAAAAATATAGTATATTAGTATATATATGGTACAAATAAGTGATATATATTGAAAAATCTAAGATTTAGGATAATAAGGGGGAGGGACTATGGGGGGCTCAAAACAGGATCCTGTCCTCAAGCACCTATGGTTATAGGCGCATGTTTTTTTTAATAGTTTATCATCACACTTTTCGATAATCAGATATACAAATTTGAGCCCGGTTAATTCATATATGATTACCAAAATCACTGATTTGTGTCTCTGATTATTAAAGCAAATTATATACATATATGGAGTTATCCGAGTTTCCTATCAGAACGATAGGTAATTCTTCAGTTTAAAGAAATAAACCCTGACGATACCAAGTTTGATCAAGTTTCAATGAATATAAGGTCATTGTTTACCCGGATTATAATGCAAACTGCATTTGTTCAATTTGCTATCTCACATATTCTATAAAGGTTTAAAGCATAAGTAATTCTTTCCCCCAATTATAAGATTGAATACTAGTTCGAGAAAACGTCTTTAATGCAGTTTAACTGTCGACACAAATAATGTAAAATTCCGTTAATTTATCGCTTAAAATGAAGGGAAACCGTGTGAGCTATATATAATTTAGATAACATTCTATTATGTTTCTCATTTTTTTAAAGAAAAATTGTATTGCCAGGCAAACTGACAGAGAAAACAATTATTGAATCATTTATTTTTGAATGGTTGAAAAAAATAATTTGCTTTGCCGCGGTAAGAATGTCAGGAAACCAGAGAATAAACTTAGTACCCCTTTTTATAAAGTTAGTATAATAAATTACTTACGAAGTGACTTTTATTTTTCGTATACATGTACCAAAGCAATTAATTGTTTTGTTTCTTGCTGCATGCAATTACAGCTCCGAGAATTAGAGTAAAATGTTTATCTAACTGGACTGTGATTACTAACGTTTATATCTAGATTAGTGCATGAGTTTTATTTCACCTTATAATTGAGCCGTTGAATGTTGTTATATCTATATGCCCATAAGAAAAAAAATATCAACAATTCTCTGCCAATCTTTGCAGAAAATAAAATTTTTGACGGTATAAAAGTCAGATAATGCATATTCTAACTTAAGGTTTGAAATATGCATTATACATTAATCACTGTAATAAATTCTTTGCACACATGTTCACACGCGAGGACGCTACAGGTTGTTAGTGCACACGAAAACTTTCAGCCAAAAAGTTAAAAAAAAAAAGAAAAAGGTATGACCTCTCTCTTGTTTTTTGTTTTTTGTTTTTTTTTTGGGGGGGGGGATTTAGAAATACTTAGTTAATTTGATAGCTTTTTTTATATTATCCTTTGCCTTTTAAACTTGAAAAAACATTTTTAACATACGTTTTCAAAGATTGAAAGTTGTGGTGAAAACTTGAAAAACTTGATGAGAAAAATTCTTGATAAATGTGTAATTTCGAAATATTGTATCAAGAACTATGTGGAACATTGAAAACGGTGTAAGAAAGAGGCTTTTTATCAATATGCAACCAGGAATAACATTTTGAATAATCCGTATACTAAGTTTCAAATGCAATTATCTCTATATATAATGAAAAGACTTGCATTTGCATGTAAATTTCCAATATTAATAATATTGTTTTACAGATATACATTCGTTTTCAAATGTGCGATTACGATTTCGAAAAAAACCTTTTAATCCGTATTGGCCAGTATTGCTGCCGAAATAAAATAACTATTCCATTTTTCTCAAGGGTTACTTTGCCATTGTTAACAATTCGCCAGTTTACACACTGATGATGCGGCATTTGGTTGTCTATTCACCAATCAATTCCAAAGAAAGGATAAACATTTTTTTCTAATGCGTTTTGTACAGATGCTTAACAGTGATCCTACCAATCTGCAACGTATGATCTTTATGGTATGGTCAAACTGATATTTTAAGTACACCCACTATATGTAGCTAACCAAAGAGAGTTTTGAAAAAAAAAAAAGATGCATGGGGCCAATTCTCACGTTATATCCGTAAAAGGTGAAGTATTCATTGATTTTTTACAAGTTTTCACGTTGGATTAACGGTATTTGCTCGGTCTACTTTAACGGGAAGCGACCTCTCCAGCTTCTAAATCCACCCGCACTGCATGTCATTAACCATAACTGACCGTTTTTGAGATTATACTTTCCTTTATCTCCAAATATTTGTGTTGTGAGAATAGATACACGTGGGTATCAATGTGTTCTGTTAAGTGCATAGTAGTAAACTTGTTGCATAATGTTCCAACCCTATATAACCGACAGAAAGCGTCAACAATTCATTTGTGGAGAAATTAACGAACACAAGGTAAGATTTTTATTTAATATTAAAAGGTATAGAGAATAACCTCCAATCCGGGCCGCGACTTAATGATAAAAACGTGGGCCAAGGACTCAAGTGGCCTTATGCAAAACTTGTTGGTTGAAATAGATAGTAATGACACTCGTATTTGATGTTTTAGGGAGCTTCCGTTTGAATATATATGTAAGGCGACATCTACTGATCTCTACAAATTAAGTAAACGTATAGGAAAACAACAGTTTCGAAAGAGATACCGGTATACTAGTATTCTAAATACATAAAAAAAAACTTCTTCCAATGTGAACACACAGAGGGTCCACAGTTTTAACATATAAAAAATGTATAAAATGTTTAACTATTGTAAGTTGGCAACTGTTTTCACAAAAAGAGTACCCTCCATCTCCTTATGAGAGGGTTGTTAAACAATAGATTTTTTTCTAACACTGGAGAATATGCCGAAAAAATGCCAAATGTGAACGCAAAGTTGGGCGTATGTCTTCATTATACACAAAAAGGGTATGCAAACATTCTAAAAAGTTTAAAGGGTGTAGGTTTAAACACTGTAGGAGACTGAAATGCTTACAGAAAACTGATACTCTTTAAGGAGAATGGTACAGACAAGAAAACGTACACCCTTTTTAATTCAGAAACACATTTTCCGGATGCCACGACACAAAGAATGAGGTGCACATCTGTGCAAATATTCTAAATGAAAGCGTTAATAACTTTCAGTAGTTTACTATACAAAAATACAAAAAAATATACAGTAATAAACGACAACCACTGAACCACAGGCGCCTGACTTGGGACAGGCACTTACAGAATGCGGCGGGGTTAAACATGTTAGCGGGCGCCCAAACCCCTACCCCTAACTTGGGACAGCACATAGTGAAAAAAGAAAAACAATAAAAGAAAAACAAATATAATAAACAGTAATACACAACAACCATTCAATTAAAGGCTCCTGACTTAGGACAAACACATAAATAACATGGCGAGGTTAATTAACTTATCAGATCGATAGAAAGTAAAAAAACAACTAGCAAAACCACAACAGACCTGAGAGTACTTGCAGTTTCTAAAAGCTAGTACAAAGCCAATGACAAATAATAAAAGTATTTGTCACTTTTTTCTGTCGAATATTTGTTGTTGTCTAAATAATGTCTTAATATTGTATTATGCTCTTTGTGAGCCCATTTAATGGAAATAAAACATCAACATCTTCTTCTTCTATAAAAAAAATAAGAGGATGTGGTATGATTGCCAGCCTTAGACAACTCTCCACCAGAGACTTAATGACATAGAAGATAACAGCTATAGGTCATCGTACAGCAGCCTTCAACAATGAGCAAAACCAATACCACATGGTCAGCTCTAAAAGGCACCGAGATGCCAAATGTAAAACAATTCAAACGAAAAAACTAACGGCCTTGAGAATTTTGTAAATTTATGTAAGAATTTTTATTTGTTTAACACGATTATATTTCAGTTATCAACAGATACAATATGTTATTCCATTGTATTCTTTCATCTCTACTGGTCTCTGTATTCACGGCGACAGTCCCTTCTCAACAAACACCAACATTCTGTCATGGTTTAGACTGTCCAACTTTTACCACGGTTCAATCTTTTAAGGTAATTTTCTAATAATTATAACTAAACACTTTCGAAATATTGTGTATTTCGGCAATTTCAAACTTTTCTAGATAATTGAAGCGGAAAAGATTATTACAAATAAAATTCGGTAGCAAAATATTATATAATATATAGATTGGGGATTTTTGGTGAAGTATCGGTTAACGTATTTTGCTGATTTCCTTTTTTTTCTTGATTATCTATTTTTTGTTGTTGTTGTTATAGTCTTCCTTTTTCAACATTTTGCACACAAACATTTAATGAATGACTATTATTTATTTTGAATTTATTGAACCATAAAATTAATTTTTGACTCTTCACATTGAATAATCCGCGAAGCGGATTATGTAAAATGTGAAGAGTCAAAAATTAATTTTATGCTTCAATAAATTCAAAATAAATTATTGTCATTCATTATAAATAAATTTCTATCAGAATAAGGCTCAAAGAGCTTTTTATATTATTTATATTAACAATAACAACGTACACACATGTTGGTGTATGAATACATAACGTCAGAGTGGGCGTGTCGCCATAAAAATTGACAACATTGAAAATAAAGGTAATACTTTTAACCAATCAGAACACAGTAAATACACCAAATAAATAATGTTGAAATATAAACTCCAATTGAACTTTCTTTGTTTGATCGATGTATTGTTACATGAAGTAGCATCCATAATCCTATCGAAAGATAATTTTGTAGGAATCTAATAAGTGAAGTCGGTCTCAGAGACGGATTTAGAGGGGCTCCCATATGAAGCTATATAAATGGTTGATGCATCAGACTTTTTACATGTTCTACTTTTAACTAGTTTGCCCCCTTTTCGTGATATTGGCCTTCAATCAATTCTGGAGGGCTTTCTGTGAAGATTGCGGGTGAATGGAGAGCTAACGTAAATCAACAAAATAAAAATTTCTTTTATCTATTATAGTTCCAATAAAATACATTAAAATATTGTCCAGATTTAAAATTTTCACAGGCACTTGTAGTATTATTTCGCAGGTGTGAAAGAGTTGTTACTCGTGACGTCATGAAACGGGTTTATACAGGTATAATACTTTTGGGTTGCCACGACTCTCGCCAATGAAATACGGACCTATAATAGAAAATTTTCAAAAGAGAGGCGAAGGATACCAAAGGGACATTCAAACTCTAAGACAAATAAACTGACAACGTCAAGGCTAAAAATTAAAATAGACAAACAGACAGCTTACCATACGCCTTTCTGTTTAGAAAAAAATCAATACCCGACTTGCCTGAGGTAATTGAACATGCTAGATTGTTGACGTCGCACGAATTTACGAAATACAAAAAAAAATATGATTTTTTTTTGGTTCAAATCATTAATGAAAGTGAAATAATAAATCGCTTTTAGCAGTTAGTTTTGTTCAATTTTGGCAAAATAAGTTAAGAACCATTGCTGACAAATTATTCACTTGCAAGTGAATAATTCGACCTCATTGAATCCGTATTCATGTGACCTTCAATATTAGCCCCTTATCTGGAGATGGGTTAGTTACGCATGTGTTTAGCTATTAAAAGGAAAAGAATGTCAACATTAAAAGTGAAACAAGGATGGACCATTTGGTTGACTGATTCGATCCCCAAAGTCATTCTTATACAGATAGAAATTATGATAAACATACTTTTAAACCTACAATATGAAATCAAACAGACCTAGTATATCCATTTGCACATGGTCGCTATCTATTTAAACGGAGGTCATCTCGATGGTTTATTAGATGACGACTAGACAAAAATACACACGAAATGTTGTTGCCTAGGGTTTCAGTGCACACTACTTGATTTGAAAATAGACATGACGTAATCAATTCAACTTTCGAACTGCAATTTTTTTCAAAACAATGAAGTAATGTATGACATTTATTTTACCAGAAATGCATATTTGAAAATGAGAAATGAAAAGAATCTAGTGTTGCATTTTTAAGGTCTATTTATCTCACTTCATATTCATTTTTTATTCTTTTTCCTTCAGGATTATGACTTACGTAAATACGAAGCATTGAAATGGGTTGCAACAAATGTAACTACAATGCAATATACAGACGATATTAGCAGAGAAATGTTCATGAGGTTGTTTTATTACATTTCTGGAAACAATAGTGCAGGTAATTAAGTAGTTAGTATATATCAAATGTTGTCTTTTGCAATTGAAAATTTAAACTTGTAAGTTGTTATAGTAAAAACATTGAATGTGTGAGTGAGTCGGAAAGACAAATTGAAAATTTAAATATATTGTTAAAGTAAAACATTTTGAATCTACCGAACAACACAGGAAACAATATTATTCTTTTACATAAATTGCACAAAAATATTCATAATTGAAATTAAGGTGACAAATAAGAATTGCCAAGAAAATAGACTTGTCAATTTATTCATAAAATACATTTGATTTAATGGACTTAAAAAAAAGCTCAAGTTAAGAAAAATATTTTCATTTTTTTAGTTATTAAGTTGCTCGATGCTGGCAGTATGAATTGTTCCTTTTCGCGTGCTTTAGTGAATTTTCCAATATATATGGTCAATACTGCATTTTTTCTGTTATGTTGACAATATAGTACTCCCATGGTTAAGGCGAAACCTTAGGGAAAGTCTTCAGACAGGCAGGCCATGCAAATATTTCACCTTTACATGACTGGTCTCAATTCAACTGAAACTTCACTTGGTAGTTCAGTATAGTGTGTAACAAGTGTAGCTTTATTTCCTTATTCTTTTTGTCATTTTGCAACACAACAATGTTTAACACTAACGTTCTTTTTAACCTTTTATTTTTATCAGCAATGAAGATTCCCATGACAGCTCCAGTCCTCCGGACAGTTATTCACGGACAAGGTCCAACATGTGAAGCCACGTTTATTACCCATTTTATGATACCACACAACATGCAGACAAACACACCAACACCCACCGACCCAAAGGCCTATCTAGTCACCTTACCAGAAAGGAATTTTTATGTCAAGTAAGATATATATGTAATGGAAACCTATAATTTCCATCTGTAAGATTGTAAATGTATATTGTAAAAATATATATATATTTTCTGTTATCAGACATTCAATCTGCGACATTTTATTTAGGTGTTAACCACATCGGATCATTCACATTATTAGTACACACTTTTTGATGACATCGTATAGAAGAAGGTTAACATTTATGACCCATTGATATATCAAGATCTACCCATTGTTATATTACATCTGCGAAATTGCATCCCATTGATATATTTGACAGTCCTATCAAAGTGACCAACACCAGTGGCACATCTGTGTATCCCTTAGTTTATGTAGGAAGAGAACCCCACCCCTCATCCGTGAATATATGACATACTCGGCAGATTACAATACCTTGTGTTTTACAAATTCAATTTGTCCAACAACAAAAAATTGGCATCCTTTCTTATATTAGCAGAACATACTATGTATTCCCTGCTTGTACACTAGAACTTGCAAACCATTAGTATGTGTTATCACTAATTTTATGCTTTTAGAATGCGTGTACGTGTACGTGATTTGTAATTCGAATGCCATATCGTTTATCAGTTATTATAGGTTGTAAAGGACAATCTAAATATTTTTCAAAATTGGAGTGTCTTGATATATCAAGAAACTTGTGATACAAGGACTAAGTCTGTAATTGTGGTAGCAGTCCTTTTGTGCCAATTGTTATTTTTCAAATGAACCATTTGAGCAAAATATTATTTTTCAAAGGTATCAATTGCACCAATATTTGGAATTCATTTGCGCCGATTTACTTGTACACATATTTATCAAAAATAATTTTAGTTGGCTTAAAAACCTTAATTTATGGAATAACTATTGAAGCTTAAAAATAAACGAAGCGAGAGTATACAGTTGCATAGATGTGTCGAGGTACACCAACTAAAAGTATTTTATAAACAAAACAGTGAACGTTTATTATGAAATGAGTTAACTACAGGAAAATAATAACATCAGTCGAGAAAAGTCTTTGCTTGTTACTATAAGGAAATTAGAATCAAATCGATGGAAGCTAGTTGTAATTATAGAAGTTTCGCCATGCTTTGATAAAGAAAAGTGGAGAAATAAGATGGTGATGCACAACCAGACTGCAGTGCTATACAGATTATTCAGATGAGCAGTGTATAGCAGTTTCTACAAAAGTTTGAGAGACAAGTATTTCGTACAAGTTTTTAAAGAACAGCTACAAGTTATTTCATGTTGAAGAGCTACATCAATAAATTGGCGCAAATGATACTATATTTTGAAAACGAGTGGCGCAAATGGATTTCTCCTGTAATTGTATTCCCGAATTTCGATAACTTTTGTAAAAAAACATCATTTTGTTATATTTTTAACAGAGTGAGTCTGACAAAACCTATTTGACAGCTTATTAGAGATTTCAAGGCAAATACCAGATGCAGATTCAACGTTTTTTGTATTGTTAAAACTCTTAAAAATAGATCTAGATTTAAGATCCTGGGAGTTGCATGTTTAAAATGCATCCACGGTGACGGTATCATTTTTTTACTTCCAGGTCTTTCACAGGTAGACCTTCTGACACAGACAACGTAGAGAAAGTTGAAGAACTGGCACAAGATATAGGAAACCCCAACTTATATTTAGATAATTATTACTTCACTGCTGGTTACGACAGCCCATATGCCATTCACAGGCACAATGAAGTATGGCTGGAATCTACAAAATAAAACTTATTCGAAAGTATTCGATTGTAACGTCTGTGCAAAAATTTATCACGTTTAAATTTGAATTCATGTTTATGAGATTCTTTATAAAAATGTACAAGTTATTGCTTAAACTCACTCCAGTCTGTACATAATTGAGACCATAAAGTATATTGTCAGCTGACTAAATGCAAAACTTGAAAATGAAATTCGCAAGTAATAACAAATTCGGCAGTTATAATGTGTCTTTAATATAATTTATTTGACCATGTGCATAGCTACCTCTTTTGTAATTAAAATTTTGAATTAACCTCTGAGTTTTAGGTTAGTTATTGCACAAGCATGTGAATATTGACCACAAGTAAAATGTATTTCGAAACAAAGCGTGAATGCGCTGTAAAGGCAGTTACCTACAGGTTTTGTGATTTTATAGTCCAGATTGGTTATAATCAAACATATTTCTTTTGAGGAAAGGCTAACAATATCAGATATTTAGTCATTTTCCAATTAATATGATAATATATATGGTTTCGGGTTGGGGATCTTGACCGTTTACAAGTTTTCAAAAAGAAGAGGGGTGGGGGTTACCCCCGTGGAATCGCCTTTTATTTCATTTGATTTGTTTTATTGTCTCATACAAGAATATATATGGTTTAGGGTGGGGATCTCGACCGTTTACAAGTTCTCAAACAGGTTGGGGTGGAGGTGACCCCAGGGGACTCGCCTTTTATTTCATTTGATTTGTTGTGTTGTCCCATACAAGAATATATGTGGTTTCAGGGTGGGGATCTTGACCGTTTACAAGTTTTCAAAAAGAAGGGGGGTGGGGTGAACCCGGGGACTCCCCAAATATTTCATTAGATTTGTTTTATTGTCCCATACAAGAATATATATGGTTTAGGGGTGGGGATCTCGACCGTTTACAAGATAAAAGCACATTCTCAAATTGAAGGGGGGTGGGGGTAAGAACTTGATATATATGGTTAAGGGAGACTTAATTATCTACAAAATGTCTAAAAATGACCATGCAGTAAATTTCTTACTATATTTATACAGCCCTATATAGCTTATAATCATCAGCACTTAGGAAACAGAGAATTTTCAAATAAATCCGTCACTCCAATTATAATTGTGAGATAAGACATTTACCATATGCTTTGTCATAATCTGGTAACAGGAGAAAATTATTTAAAAACACTTAGTGTAATCAAACTTTATATATATAATTAACTATTTCTGTACAAAGAGAAATAACTCAATCACATTATAAATACCACTTTTGGATATTAATAAAGGGCGATAGCTCAACAAGGAGAAAAGCTAAAATCGTGAAAATTGAACTTGACCTTCATTTAGTCACAGGAAACAACAATATCTAAATTTGAAAAAATTTAATCAATGCGTTTTCATGTTATTGAACGGACACTGTTTGGCAGCCGCCCGACCGCTCACCAAATCAATAACCGATATTTCCTTCGAAAATCCGGTAAAAAATTGAGAATGGAAAGGAGGAATGTGTCAAAGAGACAATAACCCTTCAAAAGAGCAGAAAACAGCCCAAGGCCACCAATTGGCCTTCAACACAGCGAGAAAATCCCACACCCGGAAGCAGACTTCAACTGGGCCTTTAAACGATATATATATATATATATATATACTAGTTCAGGGGAAAAGGACATCACACTAAACTCCGAAACATATAAATGAACCCAAATTAAAAAAAACGTACAAGACTAACATTTAAGGCCAGAGGTTCCTGACTTGGGACAGCCGCAAAAATGTGGCGGGGTTAAACATGTTTTGTGAGGTCTCACCCCCCCCCCTATAAAGGCAGGGGCATGGTAATGTTACATTGCATTTCCAAACAACATATTATTGCATGAGTATATTAATGCACTTATATCTTTTAATTAAACAAAATTTTTACTGGCTACAGAGTAACCTGGAATTGACTTTTTCGAGAAACAAATCGTTTTTTATTCATACTCAACAAAGTGCAATTGAATATTTGTTTAGGGTCAATTTTGGTTTTCACTATATGTGGTTATTCACATCTTGAGTTTATATAAAAAACCCATTCTAGTTCATCATGATGGCTTGGTGCGAATTTATCTCAGAAATATCGAGTGAAATAATGCATCTCGAAGTGACCACTCTTTCCAAGAAAATCATTATTCATGAAAAAATCACTCTGAGCAAAAAAGGTAAAAATTCCAAGTACTAGTATATATAAATTCGAAAAATAAAATTACTGCGTTCTTTGTTGGTGGTTGAAATAGACTTATGATATAGTTTATATATTAGATATATCATATAACGAGAGCGGAAAGTATTTAAGTAATTTTAGTATAAAAGTATCATTTTCAGCATTTTACCCGAAATTTACCACATGTTCATGGAAAACAAAATTATTACGTGTATCATCAAGATATCTTTTACTCTGAATAAAACATGACACAGGACACAAATTAAGTCTAAATTTTGGCATGATTAGACACGGATTATCGCTATGCTCGTGCCATTAATCATTTTGCTGCTTACACTATTAGGTCATTAATAAGGACAGTGGTCACTCAATACATTTCTCTTTCTCGCTTGTTGTGTGATCGATTTATTTGTTTTGGATAGCCAGTTATCTTGGAAGATAGTTATTTTCTTCGGAGGAATAACTTTTGTGTCTGTTTTTTTTTTAAACTTTGAACTTTTTTGAATAGATTTTTTGTTGTAATTGTAGTAGAAGAAACAAATCGGTCGGTTTCGTTTCACACCCGGAATATGGCACACCAAGCTTGCATGATGTTTTCGACCTATTCCCGAGCAAACCATGGATGCTAATGACCTTTGTGTGCCAAGCATGCATATTCAATCTATCTAATATGTTTCAAATTGGAACGTTTGTTTTTTGTTCTGTAAAAATAATGCAATTAAAATAAATCGGTAGTTTAAAATTATATAGCCAGCTCTAAAAGGTCCCGCCAAGACAAAATGTGCAGTCTATACGAAAAAACGTAACGGTCTCATTATGACAACAAAAAAACAGCTACACTGCGACAGATCCTTCGACCCCTCCCCCATTTTTACCTGGACAATGGTATAATAACACAACATAAGAACAATCTGCAAAAAACAATTGGGAATGGCTTGACTCATCAAATCGACATGAAGCACAAAAACAACTAACATGAAGACAAAAGACAGAATTAAAGAACCGATCTAAAAGTGCTCGCCGTTAAGGTACGATAATTTTATATTCGGGGAAAAAGAGGGAGCTGGCGGCAGGAGATTTTTATTTCCGGTATTTGAGTGGTCCATGTCCGTCATATTTGTTTTTCGTATATTGTTTTGTTATAAATTAGGCCGTAGTTTTCTCAAATGAATTGTTCCATATTTTTCATATCGGGTCTTTTATAGCCGACCATACGGTATGAGTTTTTCTCATTGTTTAAGGCCGTACAGTTGCCTGTAATTGCTTACTTCCACTTTTTAAAACTTTGATAGATAGTTGTCTCATTGATAATCAATCATACCACATCTCCTTATTTTTATTTTATACAAGTATTACATAAAATTAACATTATCAATGTTCCATGTAAATGAACTCTGGCACAAAGACAAGTGCACCTTGCTATCCATATACCACTTATAGAATGAAGCTTCTCGTGGGGGTGTCCAAGTAATCACATAATCACAAACGTTTTGCCAATATAATCACATAATCATTAATTATTTTTTTAAACAAGATATTCAAGTAATCAAATAATCATGAAATATTTGGTCTGGTAATCAAATAATCACTATGAAAACGGGAATCACATAATAAAAAAAACATGAGGAGGCTCTAGAATCTGAGATACGGACTTGACAGGAAGCTTAACCTTGTTCACTGATACATGAAATGAGGTCGAGGTCAGGTGAACCTTGTCTGACGGACATGTAGACCTTGCAAGGATACCATATACCGGGTATTAGTAACCAAATACACTTATCCTAGAACTCATAAGCGAGACATTCACATGACGAAATAAATAGGGAATGTGTCCATGGGACACAGATGATGCCCCCGCTTGCATATCATATAAAGTTATAAAGGGACATAACCGTAGAACCGTAAAAGTGACACTACCCAAATTTGTACTTGATCTGAGTTTTGTGGTAATAAGTATTGTGTATAAATTTCATAACATTTTGGTGGTTGAGGCTAACTTAATTTAGAGAACAGAAACGAAAAATTCAGCAATTTTTCCATTTGTAAACGGGCATAACTCTAGAACTGTTAAAGTGAAACCACCAAAATTCAAAATTGGTCTGTATTTTGTGGTAATAAGTATTGTGTATAAGTTTCATAACATTTGGTTGAGGCAAATTTAAGTAAGGGAACGGAAACGGAAAATTCAGCAATTTTTCCGTTTGTAAAGGGGCATAACTCTAGAACAGTAAAAGTGACACCACCAAAATTCAAACTTGATATGTGTTTTGTGGTAATTAACATTGTGTATAAGTTTCATAACATTTTGGTGGTTGAGGCAAACTAAAGTTATAGAACGGAAACGAAAAATTCAGCAATTTTTCCATTTGTAAAGGGGCATAACTCTAGAACGGTTAAAGTGACGCCACCAAAATTCAAACTTGATCTGAGTTTTGTGGTAATAAGCATTGTGTATAAGTTTCATAACATTTGGTTGAGGCAAACTAAAGTTAGAGAACGGAAACCAACTTTGAGACGTACGGACGGACAAGGGTAAAACTTATTGCCCCCTCCGCTACGGCGGGGGCATAAAAAAAAAGAAAAAAAATGCTTCGCCGAGCGCAGCTGGATACGACCGCAGAGGTCCAACCCTGAACAGTTGGGGGCAAAAATGGACGCAATATTCGCGCGTGATACAGGTCTGACTTTGGATTGTAATTAAATATTTGCCACATAAAAGGTTTCTGACACGGAATAACTGTAGTCAAAGAACTTAGAATTGGTTATATGATTTGAATTTATATACAATTTTTTGCTTTTGTTCAATACACTTTGCTGTTGCGAATGACCCCTCCCCCACAAAAAAAAAATTAAAAAAATTACCCCCCCCTTTTTTTTTGCTTTTGTGCAATACACTATGATGTTGGGTATTAACCCCCCCCCCCCCCCCCCCCCCCCACACACACACACACTTTTTTTTTTGCAAAAAAAATTATATTTGAAGGATTTTTCTTTTTAATTTCAATAAAATGCTTCGCTGGGCGCAGCTTGATACGACCGCAGAGGTCGAACCCTGAACAGTTGGGGCAAGTATGGACACAACATTCAAGCTTGATACAGCTCTGAATTTGGATTGTGATTAAATATTTGACACAGCATAGGTTTCTGACACAGAAAGAATGTGGTCTAAGAACTTCAATTTTTTTAATTTACCTATTATGGTCCAATGTCCAAAATCAAAATACATGTTTAGATTCAGCATATCAAAGTACCCCAAGAATTCAATTTTTGTTGAAATCAAACTAAGTTTAATTTTGGACCCCAACTTGGACAAACTTGAAAACTGGTCCCATAATCAAAAATCTAAACACATGTTTAGATTCAGCATATCAAAGTACCCCAAGAATTCAATTTTTGTTAAAATCAAACTAAGTTTAATTTTGGACCCTTTGGACCTTAATGTAGACCAATTTAAAAATGGGACCCAAAATTAAAAATCTAAAATCACGGTTAGATTTGGCATATCAAAGAACCCCAATAATTCAATTTTTGATGAAATCAAACAAAGTTTAATTTTGGACCCTTTTGAACTCAATATGAACCAATTTGATAGCGGGCCCACAAATAAAAAATCTAAATACATGGTTAGATTCAGCATATCAAAGAACCCCATATATTCAATTTTTGTTGAAATCAAACAAAGTTTAATTTTGGACCCCAATTTGGACCAACTTGAAAACTGGGCCAAAAATCTAAAATCTAAATACATGTTTAGATTCAGCATATCAAAGAATCCCAAGAATTCAATTTTTGTTAAAATCAAACTAAGTTAAATGTTGGACCCTTTTGACCTCAATGTGGACAAAGTTGATATTGGGGCCCAAAAATCAAAAATCTAAATACATGGTTAGATTCAGCATATCAAAGAACCCCATATATTCAATTTTTGTTGAAATCAAACAAAGTTTAATTTTGGACCCCAATTTGGACCAACTTGAAAACTGGGCCACAAATAAAAAATCTAAATACATGGTTAGATTCAGCATATCAAAGAACCCCATATATTCAATTTTTGTTGAAATCAAACAAAGTTTAATTTTGGACCCCAATTTGGACCAACTTGAAAACTGGGCCATAAATAAAAAATCTAAATACATGGTTAGATTCAGCATATCAATTAATCCCATATATTCAATTTTTGTTGAAATCAAACAAAGTTTAATTTTGGACCCCAATTTGGACCAACTTGAAAACTGGGCCCATTATCAAAAATCTAAACACATGTTTAGATTCAGCATATCAAAGAACCCCAAGAATTCAATTTTTGTTAAAATCAAACAAAGTTTAATTTTGGACCCTTTTGACCTCAATATGAACTGATTTGATAGCGGGGTCCACAAATAAAAAATCTAAATACATGGTTAGATTCAGCATATCAAAGAACCCCATATATTCAATTTTTGTTGAAATCAAACAAAGTTTAATTTTGGACCCCAACTTGGACCAACTTGAAAACTGGGCCCATTATCAAAAATCTAAACACATGTTTAGATTCAGCATATCAAAGAACCCCAAGAATTCAATTTTTGTTAAAATCAAACTAAGTTTAATTTTGGACCCTTTTGACCTCAATGTGGACAAAGTTGATAACGGGGCCCAAAAATCAAAAATCTAAATACATGGTTAGATTCAGCATATCAAAGAACCCCATATATTCAATTTTTGTTGAAATCAAACAAAGTTTAATTTTGGACCCCAATTTGGACCAACTTGAAAACTGGGCCACAAATAAAAAATCTAAATACATGGTTAGATTCAGCATATCAAAGAACCCCATATATTCAATTTTTGTTGAAATCAAACAAAGTTTAATTTTGGACCCCAATTTGGACCAACTTGAAAACTGGGCCACAAATAAAAAATCTAAATACATGGTTAGATTCAGCATATCAAAGAACCCCATATATTCAATTTTTGTTGAAATCAAACAAAGTTTAATTTTGGACCCCAATTTGGACCAACTTGAAAACTGGGCCACAAATAAAAAATCTAAATACATGGTTAGATTCAGCATATCAAAGAACCCCATATATTCAATTTTTGTTGAAATCAAACAAAGTTTAATTTTGGACCCCAATTTGGACCAACTTGAAAACTGGGCCAAAAATCAAAAATCTAAATACATGTTTAGATTCAGCATATCAAAGAACCCCATATATTCAATTTTTGTTAAAATCAAACAAAGTTTAATTTTGGACCCTTTGGACCTTAATGTAGACCAATTTGAAAACTGGACCCAAAATTAAAAATCTAAACACACGGTTAGATTCGGCATAACAAATAAATAAATGTGGTCAAAGATTTTACAAATATAATGCGCCATACTGTCCAATTAAAGATTACGTCTTGAAATTTTTCAATATTTGAAATTTGAAAAAAAAAAATATTTGAAGAATAATTCTTTTTAATTTCTGAAATCTGAAATGAGAAAAAATTGACCCCCCACAATTTCTTTAAACCCCCCCCCCCCCTTTTTTTCCCCAAAAAATTCTTTCCCTCAAGATATGGTCATAATCTCAATTCAAATTTCCAATGGAGTTTGCAACCATAATTACCCATTTAAATTTACCATAGTGCTAACTTAATCTATTTTATAATAGAATTTAAAATATAGTGTCAAATCTTTCATATGGATTTTGTTGTAAAAAAAAAAGATGCAACATTTGCAGATATTTTTACTGGTCTTCCTTTATAAATATGCATTTCTTTAAACAAAATTTAAAAGCAGTGTAAGGGAAGTAACCAAAACGTTGTATTTGGATTACCTCCCTTACACTGTTTTAAATTATCTTAATTGTTCATTAACCATTACTTTATACATAATTTAAAAGCAGTGTAAGGGAGATAATTTCAATGATGTATTTGATTTATCTCCCTTACACTGCTTTAAATTATGTTTTGTACTAAAGTATTTGTCCATTAACCAGGACAACCTTGTTTTTCCCCCTTTTTTGCCCCTAATTCTTAAACGGTTTGAGCCATAACCCCCCAAAGCAAATCCTAACCATCCCTTTGTGATATGGAAACTTGTAGTATAATTTCAGAGAGATCCATACACCTTTCCACAGTTACTGTCTGGAAACTAGAAAATGCTTATTTTTGGCCCCTAATTCCTTAACTGTTGGTACCATAACCCCCAAAATCAATCCCCACCTTCCTTTTGTGGTATTGAACCTTATGGTAAAATTTCATAGAGATCCATTAACTTAAACTAAAGTTAGAGTGCGAAAACTAATGCGTATTCGGACGACGACGCCGGACGACGACGACGCCGGACGACGACGACGACGACGACGCCAACGTCATACCAATATACGACCACAAAATTTTTTTTGCGGTCGTATAAAAATCTGAATTGAGAAAAAATTGACACCCCCACAATTTCTTTTTACCCCCCCCCCCCCCTTTTTTCCCCCAAAAAATTCTTTCCCTCAAGATATGGTCATAATCTCAATGCAAAATTCCAATGGAGCTTGCAACCATAATTACCCATTTAAATTTACCATAGTGCTAACTTAATCTATTTTATAATAGAATTTAAAATATGGTATCAAATCTTTCATAGGGATTTTTTTGTAAAAAAAAAAGATGCAACATTTGCAGATATTTTTACTGATCTTCCTTTATAAATATGCATTTCTTTAAACATAATTTAAAAGCAGTGTAAGGGAGGTAATCAAAACATTGTATTTGGATTACCTCCCTTACACTGCTTTTAAATTGTCTTAATTGTTCATTAACCATTACTTTATACATAATTTAAAAGCAGTGAACGGGAGGCAATTCAAATGATGTATTAAATTATGTTTTGTACTAAAGTATTTGTCCATTAACCAGGACACCCTTGTTTTTCCCCCTTTTATGCCCTAATTCCTAAACGGTTTGAGCCATTACCCCCCCCCCCCCCGAAAGCAATTCCTAGCCATCACTTTGTGGTATGGAAACTTGTGGTATAATTTCAGAGAGATCCATACACCGTTCCACAAGTTATTGTCTGGAAATGAAAAATGCTTATTGGGCCCCCTTTTTGGCCCCTAATTCCTTAACTGTTGGTACCATATCCCCAAAAATCTATCCCAACCTTCCTTTTGTGGTATTGAACCTTATGGTAAAATTTCATAGAGATCCATTCGCTTAAACTAAAGTTATTGTGCGAAAACCAATGTGTCTTCGGACGACGCCGACGACGACGCCAACGTCATACCAATATACGTACATTTGTATACAGCTAATAGCATCAATCTTTCCCCATCATGCTTATGTCAGATGAAAACGACAACACTCCATGGCATATGATGGGAGTAAATTCCTTATAACAACCATGACTCTTTCTAAAATTCAAAGGTACTGCAGGTGGTTTAAAAATAAAAATTCGGTCTTCACAAATTGAAACAGTCTTAGATAAACTATGATGGTACAGTTCCTAGGACTATCCATGCAACAAAATAACCACACGAGGAATTTAGTTTCCAATTTCAATCCACCAATAAGGAAGCTAAATGAAGAATTTCGGTCAAAATTTAATTGTTCCATCCATAAAAGTTTCGTTTTCTCTATCGTTTACCGAGAAACCGGTGCATGACACTTGCGCGCATTACCATTACATTAGCGCGCAAAAATCATTATGCTTGCGCACGGCTTTTGATTACATTTTCTCGCATTCGTTTAGAGGTAAACTCAGATAAATAAGGTAGAGTTATACTCATTTATTTATTCAACTATTATTTTCGAGCAGGATAAGTCCTTTTTATTACGCACACGCACTTAGTCCTAGAACAATATACACATAAAAATGCAGAAAATAGTAAATTTAAAGATTAAAAGTACTAATTTCACACGACGTAACATGCTAAAAAATATACATAGTACGCTTGGATTCTGTTGGATGCCCAACGACTTGGAGGAAACGGAAATCAGGTGAAATACCTTTGGAATTATTAACGATGCATCTTTATGAAATATCCCCCGACTTGAGTGTTCTGTCTATACGGAAAGTAATTCCATCGACACAAATCACCATCTCTCCTAATGCGCCCCAGAAACGTATACTATATTCTTGATAATATGTCTGGTTTACCCGATATTTTTTTCTGAATTTCTCGTTTGTTTGGATGAACTTTCGAATAATATGTGAACATCTTTCCAGGACTTTGGTAAAGATTACAGGTAAACAACTATTATAGGTAAAAAGCGCAAATGTCTTGTCAATTTTGTCCAGGTGTATCAAAGTTAAAAGCGCAAATGTCCTTTGCTGTTACAGGTAATAAAAGCCTAAACGTCCTGCGTCTGTCTGGTCACGCATCGTCTTTCACGATCAATTTTAATGAAAAATCAACAAAATTCAGTGTTTTTAAAAACAAAATGAACGGTTTAAAGGGAAAACAAATTTTATTATACTGTTTTATGATCTGTCACACCGAAATTTCAGTTTCAAATATATCATTATATATTGGAATGTAGTCATTATAGGTCCAAAACGTGTTCTTTTTTCAATGAATTCCATAGACTTGTGTTGCCCCTTTTGTGTTTTCTCATAAAGTAATGCATATTTTATTTATCTTATTGCACAGTATTATTGAGAAAGTTGAATCATTTTGACAGACAAAATTTTTTTTTTCGGATTTGTTCCGCTTTTTGAAAATACAACAGATTTTTCACAGAAGTAGAATTTCAATTAATTACATTCACGATCCGATACCAGATCCGATCCGATCGCAATGCTTGACCACCGTTAGGTATTCTTTCACGATCATTTCTCTCGATAAACCGATTGACAGCCGTGAGTATGTCAATCAGTTGACTGCTAAAAATGCAAAATGCAACTCTATAGAAAGTTTTGAAAACTAAAAAAAAAAAAAAAACTGTCCAGTGTCAATGAATTACTATAGGAATCAAAGCACTGTAAGTGCTGTCGGCAGTTAATTGAAACCAAGGCAGAAGTAAAGATGGAAATTGCGAAAAAAATTCCAATAACTTCTCAATGTCATTTTAGAAATTTATGAAAAACTAAAGGGAGGTTACCTTAATAGATATAATCCAGTCAACAAAGTTTCATGAAAACTGCTCAAAGCACTTAAAAGATATTGTCCGAAGACTGGAAAATCAACCCCTTTTTATGAATAAAATCCCATAACACGGAAGAGTTAAATTTAAAATTAACAAGCATTCTGAGAGTATTGCATAGCTATGCATAGTCCCCTACCGGTTAAAAATTCATTGTACTGGAACCAATTGCTAACTAGATCTATAATTTGTCATGCTGTAAACTATATAACAAATAGCAAGTCAATATCTTCAAGCAGGACGAAAAAAAAGTGTGGAAAACTGATTATTTAAGTAAATTTTCTAAGTCCAAAGACCATAACTCTGCACAAATTCATCAGACAGGAACAAAATTCGAACTTGATCTGTAACTTGTCATTATAAAACTATATACCAATTATCAAATCAATATCTTCAAGCATGAAGAAAAAAAGTGTGGAAAACTGATTATTTGAGTGAATTTGCTAAGTCCAAGGACCATAACTGCACAAAATCATCAGACCAGACAAAATTCGAACTTGATCTGTAACTTGTCATTATAAAACTATAAACCAATTATCAAATCAATATCTTCAAGCATGATGAAAAAAAGTGTGGAAAACTGATTATTTGAGTAAATTTTCTAAGTCCAAGGACCATAACTCTGCACAAAATCATCAGACCGGAACAAAATTCGAACTTGATCTGTAACTTGTCATGATAAAACAATACACCAAATATCAAATCAATATCTTCAAGCACAAAGAAAAAAAAGTGTGGTAAACTGTTTTGCCGGACTGACGTATGGACAGACAGACAGACAGACGGACGGACAGAGTGCAAACCTAAAGTCCCCTTCGACTTCGTCGGTAGGGGACTA